ATTAAAAATATAGTTCATCCATCTGGTATATATATATTAATATACAATAAAATTTGTTTCATTTTATTCTTATGTACAATGAAACAATTGCAATAATTAAAGAATTAAAAATTTGCTTTTCCAGATGTTTTTAAAAAATATGATCGTGTAATTGAAACAGGTTGACAGCTTTCCTGCATTGCAAGTTGTTGACTTGCGGGTCGGATTTACAGGTTGACACCCCGAGAAAAATACATTCACTCCAAATGTCAAAGGTTTGCACACTTAATAATGTAAGAACAAAGTCGGATTACAGTTTCGCATGCGCAACCACATAAACTCATAGTATCCGACATCGTTTCTGCAATTTCCACTGATTGTATAACCGAGACATTTTCAGCTCCACGACTTTCCTAGTTGATGCTGTTAGGTCTCATATATCGTCTCACATATATCAAAAGAGAATAATATTATATGTGATTAAAAATACCCACAATAATAATATAATTTATCTAAGTCACAACAGTATGATTAATATTGAATTATAAATAGCGATTGAAAATCTGCTATTAAATCTGAATGAATTTTAATAAACCCTTTTGCTTATTGAATGCACTTGAAACGTATTTCACATACATATACTTCACATTTATTTTCGAACATCTTTCACAAATTCCAGAATCACGAAAGTTAAGGGTCATTATTTGTCAAATGGAAGAATCCAAGACACCGATTGGGAACGAATACCTGGAAGCTTTGATCGCGTTCGTGTATCAAGCTACATGTTGAACCGAAACATCCCCTTGAAGCGTCGATCTCTCTCGGGGGATATAAAACGATGCGAGAATTCTCGGCGCGCAATTTTACGTCAGAAAAGAGACCCTGCCATCTTCCTCGAGGATGCGCATCAGATATTTGGTATCTGAACAACTCGTGAACAATACCTTAACGTAGAGCTCCCTCGTAGTCATCGCGATCGGTCTGAGCACTTGAATGTGGTAGAAGCTAGGTCAGGCGATACCACTGCACAACACGATTATTACACACGCGGTCAAGGCGACGACGACGATGACGACGAAGCGTCTACGGCTTTGGTCGCATGCGATCGAAAGTCGCACGCGCTATGAACACCGTCGACTTGGTCGGGTTGTACACATTGTCACATCTGAGGGAGGTCACGGCATGTTTGTTTTGCTCTCTTCCTTTCCTCCCTCTCTCGATTCGCTCCTCGGGGATCCGCGGGAGAATTTCAGTTGTCCGTGCCCGCGAGCTATATCGGTTCGTGCCGCGCGATTTATTCCGCGGGAACCTGGCTGCGGCCTTCCTCCGGACGAGCGGTCCGGCACGGGTTCACCAGGCCGAGAGCGGGTTCTCGCGAAGGTCGTACCTCCACGTAAACGACGGCACTGCCGCCGCCAGCTGGCTCGTTATCGGGTTTAGATTGCGCGCCCCTCTCCGACGACACCTCGACGCCCACCGCGCGGGTGACATCGATATCTCACTCTGACGTTTAGCGAGACATGTCAGGTGGTCCTCCTCGAAGGATCGAAGACCAACACTGGCGACGTTCGATGTAAAGTGGGATCTTGGAGAACGTATGGAGCTGATGATACGAGTGCTGCTCGATTGGTTTCGCCACGACCCTCAAAATAGTTGTGAAAGTGTAAAATGTCTATTGTAAATATATTATAAAAAGATTGCAAAAAATGTTGGACTGCGGGGACTTTATCTCTTTTAAATATTTGACATCCTGGACACAATTTTGATAATAAATGTTATGATAAGTGTATGAGATGATAAGAACAAAGATAAATTTATTTCATATTTTTAATGTACAATTATAGTTTGCTATTTAAACTTAATTGGTTATTAATATTTCTGAAGATTATGCCGGTCTTCATGTTTATATATACTGTGATATAAAATAATAATGTTTATAATTAGAAGAGAAATTTCTTTACTTACACATTTCTCTATATCCAAATATTATACTTTGATAAATAAGATTTAATAATACATGTACGCTTTTATCATTACTCGTTCAATTATCGACGACTGCCTTTATAATCATTTGTTGGCAGCTTGGAACTCTACTATATCAGACTGTGTCGCCTGATGTTAATATATCTTTGGAAAAATCTTTCTCGACCGTACATATTTATTTAAAATCATTTCTGAAAAAAAATTGAAAAATTAAAACAGAAGTTTTTTTTTCAAAGCAAATATAATAAAAAAGAGAAAATGAGCGAAATAAAAAGATAAAGAAGCAATATGCTATTTTCTAATTTACACACTTTTTTTTTATATATATTTATTGCGAAAGTTAGGTTGTGTACAGACATTTGTCAAAAAACTCAAAGTTTTATAAAAAATGAATTCTTTCATCGATTCTCACTAAATTCAATATTAACCATCCTTTAATAATACTCTATTTATGTAAAAAAATTTAACCCGATATCTCAAAATTTGCGAAAGTTACAACGTGTACAGACATTTCTCAAAAATTCAAAATTTTATAAAAAATGAATTCTTTCACCGATCCTCACTAAATTCAATACCAACTCTCACCAAATTCAATACCAATCATTCTTTAATAATATTCTATTCATGTAAAAAAATTTAACTAGATATCTCAAAAATTGCGTAAGTTAGAGGTTGCACAATATATCGCGTACATATATACATACATACAGACATACATTTTTTAGGAATATGATTTTTCGACATTTTGAAACATTTTGAACACATAGGCATAAAAAACTCGAAAAAAAATTTTGTCACGAAAACAAAGCTTCCTCTATGAGGAAGCAAAATAAAGTAAATGTATAAAACATTATATATTGTATTAAAAAATAATCAATCTTTAGCAGTATCTAATCTGAATAAAGTATATAAAACATCTGTATCCATCACAGGGTTCTATACAATATACCGGGTGGTTTAGAAATACTTGAACAAACTTTGGAGATGAATTCTCTACATAAAAACAAGAAAAATGTCATAAACATATGTCCGGAAATGCCTGATTTATGAATTATATAATCGAAAGATTACATTCAATTCTCAGTATCATGGCCTGACCTAAATTAGATTTTTATCTGTAGGAACACTTAAAAGCCCTAGTTTATGCAACTGAAATTGCAAATAAAGAGACGCTTCACCAACACATCAAAAGATGCCTGCAAAACCACTCGTAACCGTTGTGGGACCCTTGAAAAGATGCGACAACCCATGATCCGAGTTGTCTATGCATGCATTGAAGCAAGTGGAGGACATTTTGAGCATTTATTGTAAATTGTGAGTAGATAAACAATTGAACTGAAGATGTATTACATTGGTCATGTGTCATTATAGATATATTCTGTCAGTTTTTGTTGAAATTTTTCGATTATAATTTATAAACCAGATATTTTCGGACACATGTTTATATGACATTTTTTTTCTTTTTGTGTAGAGAATTCATCCCCAAATTTGTTAAAGCATTTCTGAACCATCCTGTATATATGTATATTATATATAATATTATTTATATAATATATATATATTATTCTATATATATATAGAAGTCTGTGGCATCCATTATATACATTCATTCATCACATTATATACATTCATATATTCATTCATATCATCATTCATTTATAGATAAAATGTGAAAACAATAAAAGATCAAGGAATATGTGAATGAAAACAAGTTGTTTGAAACTTCACTTTATATATTGAAATTATCATGACGTTCAGTGACGTTTTTATCATATAGTGATTTATTATAAACTAGAGCAATTAATGTACTTCTTAAAAGGAATGTATATGAATATATCAGTATTAAATAGCATAAAAGATTAAATGGAATAAGTGGATAAGGTCATGGCATTTTTTCAATTGCTTCTGAAAGCTAGAAAAATCGAAAAAGCTAGGTTGAACTATGAGGATGAGAAATTGAGATCGATTGAGATCTCCGAAGGTGTCAAGCCACGTTTCACTTTGAAGCAACGTCTCCGACGAAAGAGATTAAAGTAAGCTCCACTAACTTCTTGGAGCAATTGACCTACCTGCACACAATCAATATTAATGTTAATCTTTAGAAATTTTTCTCTCTGACATTTTATTATATATTTACTTTTTAAAAAAGTGTACAAGTGTTTCTATCAGATTTTTAACGATATTGTCTATTTAACGCGCCATAAATTCTCCTTTTTATTTCATTATTTTATAATTTTTTTTAAATCGAGATGTTACGTGTAATTATATTTCTATAGATGCAGAAAGAAGGTTAAACATTTCTGGAGTCGAATAATTTCTCCCATAAAATATTCTTGGGTTTATAAAAAGATGAAGCTTCTTCGAACGGATGGCACGCTCGAGAATTATATTCTGAAGAGCGTATTCGGGTTTTTGGGCGGCATATTTCTCACATATATGTTTTTCGTATTTTTCGTGATTCAATTGAATTTCACCCTTTCGTCCGCCACGATGTTATGCTCGATTCTTGGAATGATTCTCACGCTTGGATTGGCATTTTCTTACCGTGCGAGGTGATTCCTTGTGAATTTCAATGATAACACAAATATAAAGATATAAACATAAATTATGTATGTAAAATATAAAGATTTCGAATCTATAGATTATTTCGAAAAAGAAAGATCAAAATTATCTCAAATTTTAATCCTGTTACAATATAGTTTTATTTTCTTTAATACACATTTTTCTACAAGTTCTTACAAATAAACAGGTGTGTTGTATTCTTATTGCTGCCGCAATTTTTTTCTAAACGTGGCAGACAGGCCTTGATGGCCTATGCCTTTATTCTAACTCTTACCGGACCGGGAAAAAATACCTTGCACAATACCAGTGTCCTTTCGGAGTCTTTAGTCTGTGGACAGGTAAGCTCTTATAGGTAAGTTCATTTATATATTCCTTTTATGTCTACGCATTATCCGATTGATACTTCCTTGAATCTATTATTGGTTTTATTAGTTCTTAGTTTTACAGATCATTAGATATTTTGTTTAATCAACAAATACTTATTCAAGTACTATCCGCTCCATATTACTTGAAGTATTTCATATAGATTATTAAATTCTCGTGAGATTATTTATCCTTTTTGATTTGTTATTATTTTGAGTCGCTTTTACTAATATAAATCGCATCTGTAGGAGCAGTTAAAACAAGTCTTAAAAAGTGTAATTGATTTAATAAAAGAACCGTTCTACGCTCTGAGAGACGCGATATCGAAAGTAATAAAGACAGTGAAGGTGGTTGTAAAGAAGATTAAGCGAACTCTCGTGGCTATCAAACGACTCGTGCTTAGTCTACGTAAGTCAACTTTTCCCTCGCGATTTCACGAATCCATCGATCACTGTAACTTGGAAAATGTATCTTTTAGTGAGAGTGATCACGTCGGTTTTTCAATGGCTCGGCAGCATCGTGAATATCTGCAACAAGAAATTGGGTACGCCATTCGACAGGTGTCAGAGAGTTTTCGATGGCGCGGTGGCTGACTGTAAGGCGAAGCTTGGCCCTCTTTTCGGAGGGATATGCAATTTGACGTACATCGTGAGCGCCTTGTGTTACATAGTGAAACCTTTAGACTTCATTTGCATGCTCGTGTCTTACATTGCCGATACTATAGTTGATGCTGTACGCAAAAGTACGTTTATTTTAATTAATTAATATTTTCCTTTTTCTCAAAAACTTTATAACATTATAAACTTTAAAGAATTCTTTTAAATAAAAATTTACAACTTTTGGGAAAAGACTAAAAATTTACAAAAATACAGATATATATATTTATAACTTTACAAAGATTTTAAAGATTTTCATAAACTTCACGCGATATATGGAAATAATTTTAAAAAAGATCTCATTCTCAAACAGAAATCAAAAAGTTCACTCGCCATATAAAAGCGATGTTTTACGTTAAAGTGAAATTTTCGCATTCTTTCCACTTTGAAACGAATCAAAGTAAATCTATCGAAGATATATCGACTGGTATAATTACTGAGGTGCGATCAAGGACCGATAGATTTTTAGCTGTTTTTGATTGGATGAGCTTTATGGCCACTTTTTTTATTTTGTTCATGCTACTGAGGTAAAATTAAAGATATTATTTTAATAAGCTGCAATCTAATATTTGATAAATCGAGGTATTTTCTAGAATTATACATTATCGGCATAAATGGTTAACGAACGACCGTTTCGACAATCGATATCTGACTGATGATCTGCGCACTATTGATTTGATAAGAACGCGTCAGGAAAAGGAAACCATATTACCGTTAAACCGTCGCGAAAGAAATCAATATATTCCATTAACGTCCATCACATTGATTAAGGCAGAGAAAGTAAAACTCGCCAAATCCGCAGTATTCTTGTGCTTAACATCATTTAAAATATGTATCCACATGATGGCGGATTACAGTCTTTACTGGATCCTTAGCACTATTAGGTTTCATGGACGGATCGAAACAAAGGTATCTTAATTGCAAATATTGTTTAGAAAAATGATTTGTATTCCGATATTTTATAAAGTTCAGAATACTTTGAATAGGGGAAAGTAGGGTAAAACCGGGTAGGCGAGTCAAACCGGGTACTTCTGTTTCTTTGTGATAAGTGCTACTATCTTTGGTTAACTTGTGTTATTAGTTGTAGATTGATGCCAACATTATTTTGAGATCCGTGTCCATGTGCACACAATATTTCTTTTTTGAGAGAAGTTCAAAATTTTCGGGCCAAAAAAGATCAATATCGGAGCAACAATCGAGTCGTTATGGACTTTTGCTACACAGAGCATCTGCTTCGGTAAATGCAGCATTGCATTCTGTACATATTAGAGAGTATATTGCTTTAGTTTTGATCGTCACTTTGTACGACGGATATAGCCACTTATATAGCCGCCGTATTTATTATTTTCTTCGTATTGGGGTAAAACCGGGTATTTACACACTTCATGTAATGAAAATAGGAAAAACTGTTATCCTGACTTTGTCTCCCTACAAAAAGCAGTTGGAAACAAAAACTACCCCTCAGAAAAAGAAACTACTAAAAAAAAAAGTTTTTTGAGACCCCTAAAGTTAAAAAATTAAATAAGAAAATCCTGCAGCAATGTAAAACAAGAGGATATCTTTATTTATGATTTTTGTCAATAGAATACATCTTTGTATTGTATCTTGATTAAAATAAATCTAGATTTTGTAATTGCAGTGTTTTACATATTTTCAAATGGGTACTCGGCTTTACTTTATCGATAAGGCAAAACCGGGTATTTTGACTTCTTCAAAAAATCTTGTTATCCTTGGTAACCAAATATTTTTTTTTCAGCAACTAGCCTCATTTTCTCATAATTTAAGGTACTAAAGACTAAAGACTACTAACGGTCAGCAAAATTTTTCTTACTCTCTGATTTTTTCTAGGAAGACAAATCTACAAAAATACCCAGTTTTACCCTACTTTCCCCTACATTAAGTCTTTAAATAATCACTGATTACACGTTTCATGATAAATACAAGATACATAAGAGAAAGAGACATCACTGAAAAATAAAAATACACTTGCAATATATTTTAAAAATTGAATTGCATTGGTCAAACGTTCTGTTAGCTTAGAACTGTGATTTTGTTATCGTGATTCGCGCGAATTGCTGGAATATCGGCAGTCGAATATACAATGACATAGAATAATCACGAAAAGTAATATCGCGTGATATGATGGCAAAACGTACATATCGATCTCTAGGTCCAACGACCCAATTCTATAGGCGTCTATGTGTCTGGTAACGGCTATCTTGCCGACCTTTATCGAAGCATCGTGAAAGCCTTCACGCCGCACGCGAAGGATGTGGAGATCGATATGATGCCCTGCCTTCCAGATCCCATCCCTCCGGATCTAGACAGATATACGCAGATTATGACGCTGATCGGTTTCTGTTGGATCATGGCGATATTCGAACCGTACGGATTGAGATTGCGGCACGTTGTGATGTGCAAATATTATCCGGAAAGAGCTAAGCAAAGAGCTGCTTGGTTGTACAATCATATAATCAGGTAATGCAGATGTTCAATTAGCTAACAAAGTATTTGACATATAAACATGAAATAAGCATTTTCTATATCAAGTTTTGTTCTAGTTACTATACAAAAAATATTAATAAAATTTAATCAAACAATTATACATTAAATATTACATTTTATTATTTAATTGTTGATGTTTCCATTTTATTACTTAACTGTTTTTCATCAAAATGTTAAAGATTCTTCTTAAACTGGTTTAAAACAATGAGCGAAAGTAAATCTCTTGTTTCGGCTTGCTTAATCGTACAACTCGGTTACTTTACTTGCGTTTACTTTGCGAAACATAAATTTCATGCATACAAATCGCATCTAGTTAATGGATCCAAACTCGTGCAGATCGAGAGGAAGTTTTCTGAAATTTGCACGGCGCCAGTTGCGCCGCAAGTTCGGCATGACCGAAGGCGAGAGAATCGAGAGGGTCACGTTCAGAGAGCGATGCCTGGCAATCTGCCCGTTCCTGAACAAGTTATTCCCTCGGAAGCAGAATATGTGTCTTCTGTGCGGTGCTGCGGAACGTTCCGATCAGGAACCGCACATTAAATGCGCCACACCTGATTGCGTCGGTTTGTTCTGCATTCAATGCTTCGCGGACTTGCAGAATCTCTGCACGATTTGCCGATCGCCCATCGAATACGGCGATTTGTCGGACATAAGTGAAGAAAGGTAAGTTCTGTTAATAAATTTCATATGCAGGGTTAGGTAAGTTAATTTTTTTTTTTTAACTAAGTTAAGTTTAAAGTTAATGGCTAAAAAATTAACTAAGTTTATGTTAAAAGTTACTTAAACAAAAACTCAGCTAAAGTTAAGTTAAAAAAATGTGTAAATTAGAAATTTGCACATTGCTTCCTCATAGAGGAATTTTATTTCGCTCACAAAGCTTAAGCTCCTTAAAGCAAGTGAGTTTTTCAATTTTGGCTTCCTAATAGAGGAAGCAAACTCAATACCAACTATTCTTTAATGATACTCTATTCATATAAAAAGATTTAACTCGATATCTTAAAATTTGCAAAAGTTAAGACGTGTATAGACGTTTCTCAAAAAATTCAAAATTTTATAAAAAATGGGTCCTTTCACCGATACTCATCAAATTCAGTACCAACCATCCTTTAATAATACTCTATCTATGTAAAAAAATTTAACCCGGTATCTCAAAATTGGCGAAAGTTACAACGTGTACAGACATTCCCCAAAAAATTAAAAATTTTATAAAAAATTAACCTTTCCATCGATTGTCACTAAATTCAATACCAAACATCCTTTAATGATACTCTATCCATGTAAAAAATATTTAGTCCAATATCTAAAAAATTGCGGAAGTTATAAGTTGTACAATATATTGCGTACACACATACACACATACATACATACATACATACATACATACATACATACATACATAGCATACATACATAGCATACATATATTTTTAAAAAATATGATTTTACGACGTTTTGGAACATTCTAAACACATTGGTATAAAAAACTCGAAAAAAATTTTGTCATGAAAACAAAGCTTCTTCTACAAGGAAGCAAAATTATTAACTCATTAAAGTTAAAAGTTACTTCTCTATCTAACAGCAAATCGACACACCCGACAAACTTGTACGACAAATGAAATATTCGCATTACGATCAATCATTTTCACACGACTTTAATATTGATGAATTATTTTAACTTGTGTAAAAAAAGTTAATAAGTTAACGTTAATGCATTTCAAAATAACTAGTTTAAGTTAAAAGTTAACATGTTTAAAATTAACTAAGTTAAGTTAAAAGTTATTAATTTTTCAACTTTTTAACTTCACTCTTATCTGTTTAACTAGTTACTACCCAACCCTGATCATATGTCGCATTTTCAACGAGGAATTTCGCAGAGTATGAGAGTGATAGTAATATAAGCTATTGATTGCGCATTGCGAGCAATGAATTAATACAATTTGAAAACATACAAATTATTATTTATAAATATTTTTATTTATATAAGTTTTAATAAATATTTATAATTTAGCTTCTTTTTTAAAAAATATGTATATTTCCAAAAAAAATATCATATTTGCATTTTATTACAATCTAAAAATACTTATATTTTTAGGATTAAAACATAATATCGTATAAAAATATGCATGATGTAGGTATTTGTTTCATTATGTTTGATAATCATGATCACATGATTATACTTTTGACCGCATTAGAGATTCATCGGATGATCAATTGATAGCGAAAAAGGAACCTGTACCGATAGGTATCGATATCTGTAAAGAAGAGGAACCAATTATAGAAGAAAAACCTAAAGAAGAAAAATTACCTAAAGAAGAAATAATACCGGAAGAAAGAATAGAAGAAAAACTGCCAGAAGAAGAAATACCAGAAGAAAGACTACCAGAAGAAGAAATACCGGAAGAAAAACTACCAGAACAAATACCTAAAGAAAGGATAATAGAAGAAAGAATACCGGAAGAAAAAATATATGAAGAAAGACAGAAAGAAAAAATTGACGAAATAATCGTGGAAAAAAAGGATAAAGCTGTACAAACAGATGACGATATCGATGAAAGTAGTTCAGAGTCGATCTATAGTTATAGTATGTACAATAACTATCTGTTTTTGCACTATATATACTCATATTACAAAAAAAAACATATCTATTCCAAATCTATAATTTATCTCACAAATCGAAAAGAAAGTTGATTGGAAGTCAATGATAAAAGTAATAATTGATACATGTTTTAGCTTATCAAGAAAGGTCATCACGAGAGATCGAAATTGAGCGTCGTAAAACGCCTTTCAAAGACGTCGAAGCCCAGAAAATAAGAGAAGACGTTACGATTCAAGTAAGACGTTGCCATTTCATCTCAAGATCTTAATTTATTATATATTGTTTAAAGAATAATAGGGGCTTTTCTATACAAATACATAACAAACCTTTTCCGAATTGAAAAGATATAACTGTACATTTTAACAAAAAAAAAAAAAAAATCAGACATATTCTGTATATAATATTAATTATTAAACAAAAACAAGTAGAGTTGTACAAATTAAAAACTTGCACATTGCTTCCTCATCATTTTATCTTACAAAGCTTAAGCTGCTTTAAGCAGTAAAAATTGCGGAAGTTAAAGGTTGTACAATATATTGCGTACATACATACATACATACATACATACATACACACATACACACATACATACATACGTACAGACATTTTTTAGGAATATGATTTTTCGACGTTTTGAAACATTCTAAACACATTAGCATAGAAAACTTGAAAAAAAATTTTGTCACGAAAACAAAGCTTCCTCTATGAGGAAGCAAAAATAAATCGATTTTATGAAATGTTATAATCTTCTTAGTAAAAACCTATCATCTTAATTATGCTAATAAGAGAAAAGCGAATGGACCTTAATGACCAATGTCGATAATGGAAAACTAAGCTGTAAATGTATGGTCAGATTTTTAACGACCCATTGGCGAAGGAAATTACCTCGAGCAGCGAGGATCCGACGTCCTGTTTCGTGCTGAGAGCTCGTAGGAGGCTTCGTACTAGGTTGAAAAGAAAATCCTGCTCTTCCCCGCGCAAGGACGATTCCAGCTCATCTACGTCGATAGCGAATACCGAGTCCTGGCCCACGGAGGAACTAGATGAAGAGGAGGTGGTTCACATCGAAATGGACGATGGCTCCGAGGAACTACTCTTAAAGGACGGCGTTGCCAAAGAAAAGAAACGGAGCCGCGTAAGGAGAATCCTTGCTGCGCTCACGAAAATTCCTTGGCTCGGAAAGGAAACGGTATGCGATAAAATAACTTCTTGTTACTTCACTGACGTGTATCCACTTTATTTTTAATCAATTATTTCTGCGCTGGCCATTTACAACGAATTTTCATTCCCTTTTAGAAGACCGATAGCGATAGAGGCGAATGGCGAACGAGAAAACCGTCTCTCGTAGACAGAATAGCTCGAATGCTTCCTGGAACTCGATATGTCTCGCCTGTTCGAACGAATATCTATCGACGAATCCGTACTACGAAAAAGGAAGCGAAGCGTAAAGAATCTTCTTCTTCGTCTACCTCCGACGAAGAAAATGAAAAGAGCATGCTCCTGAAAACGCGCGATCGGCAAGTAGATTGTTTACAAATCATTTCGGACCATGATGATTCCGAAGATAATATTTACAACAGAAATTATGATTCACATCGTGCACGACGCAGGACGATTTGTCGCCAACCAGATTCACATGAACGAGCTGACGTTGTAAAGTTGAAATACCCTCACGAGAAGAAATTTACGACGAAAAACTTACCGAGGTACATCGGGTAAAATTTGAAATAAATATTATTATATGATAAATAAGAATCTGATGTGCAATATAGTTATTTTGTGTTTATATCATAACGTGTAACTCGTGCTTTAGGTATCTGCAGCCGATTTCAAAGGATACGGTATATTTCGAAGTAGACGAGATCAAAGACTCGCAATTAAAGCGGAGATGCGTTCATCCGGGAGATCGTATTAATATTTTATCAGATACCAGAACATCCTTCGATAGTCAGGAGACGAATAAGCGAAATATCTCTAGTGATTATACTCGCGTATGCTATAGCTGTTTCTTAGTTCCGTGATAATCTTAATTTTCAATATCGATCTTTCGTGTGTGTGCAGTTATGAAACTTACTTAAAAATAGAAATATGTAATTTTATACGAATTAATTAAAACGTGTACATATATGTATATGTCTATTATATAATATGTATATTTCTTATATTTTATTCCCAATATTAGAAATTTTTTATTGTAAATATATTTAATTTAACTATATTGAATTATACATTAATAAAAGCTGAATTTATTTAGATTTCCTGCACTTGCACATCACAATTTTGCGATATTAAAAAAGACAATGAAGTTTGTCAATCGGATATGAGTACCACAACCAAACATAATAACGAAATATCTGAAACGAACGAAATGTTGGAAACAGACAACGAATTACTGATTATCGATTGGCAAAAATCAGGTCAGGAGATAGTGATCTTTCGATTTAAAATTCTACACGAAGAAGAGAATAGAATATTTAATCGAACTGCTTATTCGTCTAATTTCCAGAAAAGAAGATGAAAGAAGTCGCTACAAAAGGAACATCAACAGATGCTGAGATAGATATTGAGACAGATCGAAAAATTCCAGAAAAAGTTGTAATTGAAGATAATCAGAGAAAATCCTTAGCGAAAAACGGCAGAGGGATTATAGAGCTAAATGATACTGCAGAAGAAAAAGATGGAAAAAAATACTCTGTCAAAGAAGAACAAACTAAAAACCTAGAAGCGAGTAAAGACGTGAAAGCATCAAGAGAAAATGAAAAAGCTCAGTTGTACGATCCGTTAGCTAGTTTGCTGTTGTACGGCGTCACGTACCAAGGAAAAGAGCGTGAAAAATTTGTCGAGAAAAAATTAACGAAGCAACCGGAAACAGCGAAGGAAACATGTATAGGTGATACAAAAATGGCAAAATCCACGGAGTTTGAAGAAGACATTGAAATGTTGCAGAAAGACACGCAGATCATTGCGAGTGAAATTAGAAGATTTACGGAAATACCCGAGAAGAGTATCCAAACGAATCTCCAAAAATCTAAAAGATACAAGAAAAGTGCAAAGACACCGCATACTGATGCCAACATTTTTAAAGCTTGCATAAAAGAAAAAAAAGGCAAGACAGACGAGAAAAGACGAAAAAAGTGGATCGATAAATATGAATATTATAAGAAAAGGTATAAAATGTATATAAAAAAAAAAAATATTAAAAATTATTATTAATCTACGAGTCTCATACAAAAAGTGTTATAACTCAATGACATTTTACAGTGAATCTGAGAGTAGTTCACCACGAGAAGAACGAAAATCTTGTAACAAGGCAACATTAATTAAAGGGAAGCAATATAATAGAAAAAGGAAACAAAAAAAAACTTGTAATCGCGATGTGCAAACTCAAAGACATTCCAGGTAATATACACATGTTTAAGTTTTATATATGAATTTCTGATATCAATGACTATATAGTACGCGACACGCAGAAGAATTTTTCCGTACAAATCGAGCAGAAAAACGTTCCGATGTTCAAAGACATGGAAAAATCGCTTCTACGTTTAGACCAGCCATTGAATTAAGTGAAGATCGACAAACTCAGTGTAATATTCCTGACATGAGAGATGTTCGAGGAAGACAGGATGGTGCTTGCGTTTCAAAGTTTACAAACGAGCCAGAAGTTTGGTCTTGTAATGTTCAACCGCAATTTCAGGCACCTGACCGAATAATCCACTGTCAAGATTATAATTATTGGAATCAACGGAAATTTCTAAGTCCACGTAACGCGCACGTTACACGCGAACCTTACAGATGTTATAGACAAGCTAAAAATACTTATGCAGGTCAAGTTTCACGTTATGTCCCAAGTTACGCAGATGTTTGTTCATCAGAGCTTACAAAAATAAGGTATTAAAAAAGCGATATTCCAAAAACGAAAAATTATCTTTAATATTAAATTAAATAAAGTAAAACGCTTAAAAAATATATATTATAATCTTCAAAATAAGAGAAAAATTTGTAATTTTCTTATAATTATTGCAGTTCATTACAAGAAAAATCACAGCAAATGAGAAAGACAAAATACGATGTTAATATCCGCGAAACCAGACTGAAGACACCTATGTTGAAAAAATATCTACCGCCATATCAAACACCGGGGTTAATAGAAGAATTAAAAGAACATGATAGAATGAGATTAATCCAGGAACGTGAAGCTAGAAGATGGACGACTTTGAGCGCTCTTCGAAGCACGAAGGATTCTTCGTTAAACGCTAAATCGAGAGATCCTGTATCCTGTGATACTTCTATTACATGCGATGCTCATGAATCTGTCAGCAGATTAACTTCAGTAAAAAAATTTATCTTACTTTTATATTTTCTAAAAGTTGATAGAGAATTTTTAAACTTTATTATGCATTTGATATGTTTTTAATGTGTATCAATACAATTTAATATTTTTCTTTTAATTATAAATACTTAATAAATAAATTAATTAATTAATCAATTTTTTATCATATTCCTCAATTAATCGTTATGTACGGTTGTTAAAGATTGTATATTTTTATTATGATTATATATGTATAACAATGTGTAGTCACTGTGGAGATATAAAAGGTTAAAGATATATAATATCTCTCATTTTTTATATGATATTTTCCAAGGTCTCTACAAAGCTAAACGAGGGGAATAACCTTCCTTATCAAGAAACGCAAATCTTTAAAGATGTGATGTGTGAGTTTCGGAAGAAGGTGATAGAAACTGAAAGACCTCTAATATCATTATTTCAGCGTGCAGACAAAGATAAAGATTTAAAACAATTGTTTCCCCCTACGAATGAAGATCATAGAGAAATTATGTCAACGTCAAAGTGTGACAAAGCTGTTAATAGGCTTAAGGTATAATCAAAATTTAATCATATAAGCAAAAAAAAAGAAATTATCAGAAATTAGGATAGTCATAGTAGATTGCGTGTGTGTAAATTATAACTCTTAATTATAAATTATTCAGTTATATTTTATATTTTGTCATTCAAAATGCTCAAACCAAAGCAACTTGATATTAATTTACGCTCTTCAGTTGTTTCGTAGATAAATATTTTATGTTTCAATATAATATAATTAATATTATAATTAATATCTGTATTTTCAGCCAATGTATGAGAAATACGAAGAAGAGTGCAGTACAATCCACAAACTAAAACAAAGATTTCAAAGTGAATCGTTTAGCGAAATGTCATCAATTTGTAATTATCCTGGCAAATATTATCGATCTGGTGTTTCGACTTCAACCGATGAAACGGATAATAATGATGATATCTCATAAACGTATAGTGGTGTTGCCCCGAAGAATCTTTGTAATCAAGTTAGAATTTTATTATCCGAATGTTTTATAATAATTAAAGTTTCATAATAATTAAAGTTTTATAATAATTCAACAAATTTTATTTCAGGTATTGATAAGTTCTATAAAATCAACATTTAAAGAAAGGGCGTACAGCAGAGAAAATTAATTTGTTAGCATTATAGAATGTCACAAAATTAAAATACAATTAATGACAATTTGTATTATAAATGTATTAAAAATATTTGTCACATAGTTGAAATTTAATAAAATAATTAAAAAATTCGTGTTACTCGTATTTGTTACACGTGTGTTATACGCGAGTGCAATAATCATGTGCTTAATTAAGCAATACGCAGCTGCGTTAATGTATCTGTTCTAAAACGACGAAATCAGAAGTAAACAACAGATTTCTTGTCAGTAGTGCCGAACATCGTTACCAAATAATTGATTCATATATTCAATCAGTCGGCACAAGTCAAGGTTACCATATGAGAATTGATCTACTGATGCAGCTCTTAAAGCGAATAGATGATTGTATCTTCAGGTAAAATTTATTGAAAACGCTTGTTAATTACAAAAAATTTCGATTGTAGAGACGCAATTAACAAGTTAAGTGAATAATACACCGATTAATTAATCTTTTTTAAATATTATTGAAATGAGAGAGTAATAAAAAAAGTTAAAGTAGGAATGGAATTGATAATTTTTGTTTTTAAGTTGCATTTTTTAATTATATTTCCAGATTACTAGATTATACTTTTAATAATTAAAAATATTTTTTATTTTGTAATAAGTATATAGATATATACTTTTTCATCTTGTTTAACATGCAGGATATTATTTTTAGATTATTATGATTTTTATTTTTTTATTATTTTTAGTAATAAATTCCAAGATTCTCGGCCATAATGGAAAATCCATATTGAGGCTGAAATAATTCGGTTTAATAAAACTCGGAATTAATCATGTCTGACATGTTATAAAAATGAAAGGCATGTGATTTATTTTTTGATATTCTATTTTTTTGTCATTAGAAGAAGCCATCATTCAATGTCAGTATAATGTGGCAGTTAACCAAGTAGTTCAAATTTTTAAGTATGTAATAATAGAGAAAAATAACAAAGAGAAGAAGAACAGTGCATTTTATACAGTAGTAAAGCTGAAGGAAATCATGAAAAACGGTAATGGGATTAAAAAATTTCTTCGGCCAGAGGTGATTAGCACCAAAAGTCGAAACGAGCGGAAAAGCGATAAATTCTCAAACGGCAAAAAATTTAAAGACTCAAGAGACAGGACACAATATTTTTTATATCAGAGACACTCTTGCACAATACAACCGTAGCTTATTTTTTTCGTGACTTATGAAAAATCATAAGCTTTCCGTAGACGTTGATTTTGATAAAACTAGTAGCAAAATTGAAACAAGATAGGAAAAAACTTTAAAAACATTGACTTTTGGCATAATTGAGGAGAAGAAATAAAATATCATGAAAGCACAAGAGTTAAAAAATGAGGGATATGAAAATGATAAGAAAGTACCGGAAGCGAATTGCATGCGCGCTTTGAGAACATGCAGAGAAGACAAAATCAATAGAGAAACCTGCGCAAATGTATCGACGAGAAAGGAATTGCTCATGCACGATGAAAGAATCAATCCAACAAAACTGAGTGAGATAATTAACAAAGAGATAAACAATTCTATTAAAAAGATCAACAATTCTATTAAAGACGCCGTGCAAACTATCGTGAAACAGTGCTCAATGGTACCTAGGATGCAAGTATCCACTTTGAGAATTTTTCATACTGTTTCTCCGTAGATGTTTTATACTTTTTACAAAAATAAATCTAACAAAGATATCGATTCAATTATAATATCGAAAAGACCTTTTTATTTCTTCAAATTTATAATTTATTTTGAGAATAGAATTGATTAAACAAGATTGGTAAAAATAAATTTCTTTCAAATAGGAAGAGAAAAAGCCGATTTTGCATTGTTCGAAGGAGTCTGAACAAAAATCCCATACGTGTCAATCTCATATAATGGAAAAATATCGTAACAATTTGCCCAATGTTTGTAGCAATCAACAAACAACACGTCATGCTTCACGTCAGTATAATTATCTGTCCATGTGTGATAACTCGTATCCATACACCAAAACACATGAGGATACAATACTGTTGCCTGTGAAAAATAAAGTTAACAACGAAAAGAAAAATAAAAAATCACCGAATAACATAAATACCGACAATCGAAAAATGACCGGAAATGTCAATATTTATATTTGCTCGGAAGCTAAAGATAGTAGCCAGGTAAACAATACGCCAACGTATCATCATTGAATAATCTTTTTTTATATCAAATATAATATCTAAAAGTATAAAATATTGAAATGTATTATATAAAAAATTAATTGTCAGTTTATATAAAAAAGAAATATCATATTCGTTTTTCATAATTAATATAAAAAAATTTTTTTTAATTGATTATTGAATAAACCAATGAGAACAATAGCGATTCCATAAATCCAAGAAAACAAAAATATAAAATATTAAAGTTAATTGTATCTTGTAATTACTATATTACAATTATTTTACTATACAATAATACCATATAATTTTACATAAAATGCAATTATCACAATAATTCTTTTATAATTAACTATAATTAAACATATAGGAGAAAAATAAGAAAAAATCAAAACTTGGATTAAGCACAGACACAACTACTACAAATTCCAATACAACTACTGAGCAATTAAATTCACGAAGCGCCAGCATATCATCGTGCAAGCTAATAAACAGTATACAAGAAAAACGGAAGAAACTGCAAGCGCAGCAGCTGTCTAATTCTATTCACAAAAAGCGCAGTAGCCATAACATCGTTTGCGATAACAAAATATTGTGCAGCACCTCCGCGAAAGAATCGAGCGAGTTCAGCAAGGAGCAGATAAATGTCAGCGACGATGACATCGAATGTAAGGACACGATCTCATCGACCAGGGACGGTTGCTGTTGTAAGGATACTAGTTTTAGCAATATGGATCTTGGGCAGGATTTGTCGGATTCTGCAGTTCCATGCTCAGATTTTAGTGTGTGCGACAATCTTAGACGTCTACAATCTTGGACCACTATTTATCCCTCAGAAGCGAGAACCATGTTGAATGTCAGTGACGCCTCTTTATCAAATGCGATTTCCACTAACGTAGAACAGAGGGATTATGTTAAAAATGATATTCAAAGTAACGTTTGCGAAAATAATAGTGCATACACGGTATGCCATGCGGTCGATGGCAGCAGATGGTTACCAAAATCGATTTACACAGATTGCGTTACATATGATAAAGATCCTAAAGAGCATTTTGCTGACGGCTGTAAATATCGAAATAAAAAACTTCAGGATTCGATACTAAATCGTAATAATATTTGGAAGAGACAGATCGAATATAAACTATTGCAACAACCTTCCGAAAGTTGCCAAAGAGAGAACGTTGTTCGACAACGGTCTACATGTAGTTGTATTGCGGAAGAGGAAGAAGATTGCTTCACAAACGTCGAAAAAGTCGAGGGAAAGTTTTTTGAAAATGTATGCAATAATATAAAATGTTTAGAAAAAAGATCTGTTTGCCGAACACCTTCTAACAAACTGGTCGAGACTGCAACTGTATGCGAGATACCGTTTAATACTATTGGAGAATGCGTCGAGCAAACGCAAACGTGCGAGAGTATGTTCGAGGATTCAACGGAATGTCTAAAAGGCAAATGTAACAAGAATGTAAAAATATCTATTTGCCAAACATCTTCTAGTAAATTAGATAAAAATGCAACTATATGCGAGAGTGTATCGTTCAGCGTTGCTAGAGACCGTTTCGAGAAAATGCAAACGTGTAAAAATACGTTCGAGAATTCCGTGAAATGTCTAAAAGATACTACTATGTACGAAACAACGTTTGGAAATTCCGAAGAACTTACACAAGTAACGAGAGTTTGTAAGAAGTTTGTTACTGAAGAGTCTCCGGAAGATATCACAGTTTGCAGGAGAATGTTTGGCGAACCAAAAGTGTCTCCGGAAGAAGTAATAGTTGGCGAGGCACTTCCTGACGCCAAAGAAGTCCCAAAGGAAACAATTTGTAAGAAGATTTCTGACTCGAACTTTGTTAACCAGGACAATGATAAGAGAGTATTCTTAAACGATGCAAAAGATAACCTTGCGAAAGAAAATGCAAATAGCTCCAACTTAAATATTCAGAAAAAGAACAGTGAAAATGCTGAAAGAGTAATACAACTAGATAATAATGTTGCCCTTAATAATTTTACGGAAGAAACATGGAAGACTCTTGTCAATAAACGAAAAACGACAATACAGTTATCGCCTAATCAAACAATGAGAAATCATTTTCAGCAACTAAATAAGGATCCTATGACACAAAATTCAGCATCAGATAAAGTTGATCAATCTGAAGAAAGAACGCAAGAAGAATTGAAAGAAGAAGAAGAGAGCCAAGATATCTCAAAAGAAAGAAGAACGACAGAGGAAAAACCGAGAGATTCATTCTTAAATCGATCAGTTAAAAAACTGATCGATGTGATTAAACTTGGTAGGATGAAAATTAAAGAAAGGACAGAAACAGAAAAAGATATACCAAAAAAAATAATTGTAGATGGCATAAAAGATGTTGGAAAATCGGACACTGTTTTTAAAAAAGATAAAATTAGTGAAAGAATTACAATGCCAGTAAGATATCCGCTCACAAGCAGAGGTAAATTATAAATTAATTTAACTTGACAATTTAATTATATAAAGCTTTCATAATTGCCCTTTCATAAATCTTTTACGATATTTTGCATTCTCTGTGTTAAGTTATTTAAATCAAAATATAAGCTTATAGAAGGTTTTAATATAAAAATATATAAATAAATATTATTATTTTACTTATTTTGATGCAATATTGTATCAATTCTATATTTATAGAAATGACTAAGAAAGCTGGAAGACCTATTGCAAGACTGAAACCAACTGCACCGGTAACTGACTTTGCAGTTTCTGAAGAGATTAAGAAAATGGTTATTCCTAGCACGAATAAGACAACGCCTAAATTATTGCGTATTATTGCAGAGAAAAGATCACATCTTCCCTTAACCGTAACGACGGTTGATCCTAAATCTCAAGAACTTAAAGAAGAATTTATTCCTGTTGATGTTATTGAAAAAAGACAGGTCGATCAAGAAGAAATCCCAGAAGAAAAAGTAGTTCCGCAAGAACCTATTCCTGCAGAAATCGCGAAAGAATTAAAAGCAGAAGAATTAATCGCGGAAGAATTAAAAGCAGAAAAATTAATCGCGAAAGAATTAAAAGCGGAAGAATTAATTGCAAAAGAATTAAAAGCAGAAGAATTAATCGCGAAAGAATTAAAAGCAGAAGAATTAATCGCGCCTGAAGTAAAAGTTACCGAAATTGAAACAAGTGTTAAAGATATTCCAAAAGATGTTACTGATGAAGATAAAATTCTAAAAGATATAGATGAGATAAGCAAAACTTATGTGGCCTGTCCACAGAAGAAGCTAGAAGAAGAGCTACAAAAATCTATCCCTTGTAAATGCATTCTACCTTCTGAACCGAAAGATCCTTCGTGTTCGATTGCCACATGCACAACGATCGATGTATTCTGCCCGCAGAAGAAACCAGAAGAAGAATCACACGAGTCTATCTCTTGTAAACGAGGACTATTTTTCGATCTGAATAAATGCCCATGTTCGATTGCCAAATGCTCAAAATGCAATAACACTCTCGAAGATAGTCTTCACAAGGATAGTGAATTTGAACAGAAAAAGAATTACTGCGCGTATTGTCGTTTGTCGATAGCACAATGCACTTGTGTACCGACACAATACTTGAAGAGTTGCTTGAAGACTGATAAACCTAGATTTTATAGTATGTCACCTTCGAATATAAGTTCGTATTACTGCAGGAATTGTTATGGAATGAAGAAAGAATGCATGAATTGTTGCGGAACAAAAGAAGAATGTAGAAATACTGCGGTCCATTGTCAGCTTCACGAAAAATATAAATGGTGTACAATGCGTAACAATTCCAGGACAATTGATAAGTGCAGGTATGATGTAGTAAAATCTTCTTAGGGTACTGTGTAAAATTAAAGATATTTATAAATATCGAAACAATTTTTAGAAGTTAGAAATTTAAACAGATATTTTAATTGAAAATTGAAAAATAAAAACAATTTCAATATATACACAAATCTGTATTCCCTTCTTTTTCTCATAAATTCTCGAAATATTTGGACAGATGTAGATCACTAGTAAATTGCATCAACTGCTACAGATCAAGAGATCGATGTTGTTGCGTTACATTCGTTCCGGTAGATAGTCACATAGTCGCAGCAAACTGCAATTACAAGAAAGCAATGATTTGTCTGTACTGTGATAATCGCCAAGATAAGTGCACGTGCAGAGCACCGATCGAAAAATGTTTGTGCTGTGGGTTGCCATCAGATGTTTGTGACTGCCAAAATGATGAAGATCACAGTAATAACCGTGGAAGAATTGCCAGAAAGCCGGATGAGGATCAATCAATCCGGGTTACCAGTTGGAAGCCGAAAAGAGAAATTAGGCGATATTTCGCGAGAAATCTAGAGGACTTTCGATCAGATTCTATCGAAGAGTGTCACTGCTACGAGAAACCGAAACGACAACGGCGCGAGAAACTACCTTATCAGCGGTTGAATATCTTCTCGGATGTGATGAACGAACTACAGCAAAAGATGAGCGAGTCCGTATGCTGTTCACGATGCTGGAGAAATCCGTGTTGCTGCGGATCGCAGATTGAAGATAAAGGAAAAGAAAAATGGAAAGCCAATGTTGGGTATGTGGCTGCCAGAAAATATTCTGAAACGATATTAAAACTTTACGAAATTATTTTTATGTCATTAATTAGATATCATAAAACAGAAAAGTCGCCAAAAGCAAGTCGCCGAATAATTGCCGATTGAGTCCAAGAAACGAACATAAAAACATTGTTAAAAAATCAATATTAGTTCGACATATTGGTTGCGTTTGTAAATTGTCGCCATGCAGATGCAGGAAAAACGGATTATACAAAAAACCACTGGCAAAATGTTATTATTGCAAAAGTTTGCCTTGCAGGTGAGTAGATTAAACTATATATAAATGATACAGATTGTAATTATATATTTTTTTATATAATGTCATCACAGAATCTAGTTTGTAAAGCATTTAATATTGTTTAAGAGATTTTGCAAATAATCGAGTTCGAATATTACCCACACGCTCATCAATACTTACAAGTGACCCTCGTACTTTCCGTTGTTAGTTTTTTATTGCATTCTTTGCTGCAGCTGCGTTATAGCAGGTAGCCCGGTAACCGAGGCTGTGCAAGTGCAGTGATTCATCAAATCGTACCGAACAAAAGCGAAGACGAAAAAGGTTCACCAATTTCAGAAACAAATATGGAAATGTTTCAGTGTATATAATTATGGTATAGTATAAATTCTAAAATAGAAGAATTCTAAAATATGTATTTAAAACAGAAGAGAGATACAAATATTAACATTTTCACGCACAAGAGATAATATTAACAAATTATTTTGAACATATATACTAGTAATATATATTACTTTTATCTTTCGATAATTTATATACTCGATTTTGCAATTAATAAAACATTTTATGAAAATTGAAATTCTCTCTCTCTCTCTCTCTCTCTCTCTCTCTCTCCTTTAGATAGATGACAAATACGTATTTTTTCTAAATTTTATAAATAACAAAAATAAAGTAAAAATGTTATATAAATTGAAAACATATTATTCTCTTATCATTCAATATTTAGAATATCTCAATAATGATAATCATATATTTATGTGCGATGTGTATTAATGTTACCAAATTGATTGTAATGTTTTTTTAACCTTTAAATTTCATAATATTCTGACATGATGCAAATGTTTAATATTTCTTCGGGTCAGAAGATAAGAACTCTCAGAGACACATATATCATGTACAGTTGTATACGTTTTATATGTCGCAAAACATGCGTAACCACAGAATTCGAAAGTTAAAAAAACGTTTACGTTTTTAATTATCTTAATAATAAATATCTTAAATATTCGATAAGTAAATGCATAATATATTTATTTCGCCTATCAAGATATTTATTCATCTTATAAATATAAATAATTAAGAATTTTAATTTAATTAATAATAAAATTATAATATTTGTTAATATAAAATTTATAACATTATTATTCCTTGTATAATCAACATGAAAAATGCAATTTGCGTAAATAGAACTTTGACTTTCCTCTCTGAAAATATGTGCTATTTGTAATATATAATATCTTTTAATATATTATAAATGACAAATAACACATTTTATTATAAAGTTTATAAATTTATAAAGAATATTAAACAGACAAAATCCGATTAAATACAAAAATTATTCTTATATACATATGTCCATTATTAATCAGAGATTAACGTCGAAAACCAGAGATTACGTACAAAGTAAAGTCACAACAATATTATACAGGGTGTCTACTCTAATCTTGCAAAAACATTCCCTGATCTTCCAGGTATTTTTATTCAAAATTCCAGGTAAAGAAAATATTTTAAAGATTTATTAGGGTGTGCAACTTTCTAAAATAAGTCTTTTTATTGTATACATTTTGTGATGTTTTTCATTCATATGGAGGAAAAACACAAAGCCTCTTAAGTTTCAATGTTATATTTATAAATGTACTAAAAAAAAACTGAATAACTTTTGTAAGATAAGCATTTTTCATTTGCATATAAAATTTTCATTTTTTTGTCACTAAAAATTACAATAAAGAGTACGTACTGTATATTCAATATTTTGTTAAGACATTAAATATAAACAAACATAAATATATATTTATAATATATTTTAAACATAATTTACTTGGCTTGCCGACTGTTTACAATATAAAAACAAAATTATCAAACAGAGGATTTTTTAAAGAAATTCCCTGACTCCCAATAAAATTCCATGAGAATTCCATGATTTTTCCAGGTACAGAAAGTCCTTGAAAATTGCAGATTTTCTATATTTTTCCAAAGAGTAGATATCCTGTTATAAATTTGATTCCAAGTTTTTCCTCGACAAGTTTTCATTGAAAAATACATCACAAAACGAGAAGTACGCAAAATGACAGTACCATTCTGATGACTGGTTGGAGTAGGGGGCATCTTATACTGCATATAAGATACTCACGTTGTACTAGGCCCGTATCGGCTATAAGCGAGTAAAGACAGCGAGGTAGTTGGACACGGGAATTAGTACGATCTCACATCACAGTTAGTGCTCGGCGTATACAGACCCAACATTAATCTCTTTCCTCCCTTCGCTTTCGAGAGTCTGCATTCTCCGTGTCAGACGGGACGCACCGAGGCACGTTTTAACGTACTCGGTACTAAATATTCCCCGGTGCAATTTGTATCTCGTGCTCGTAGAAATTAGAAGAAACTTTTACCAGTTAGAACCGTCAAAGTGTTGATACTTCGTAGCTGAATAATGGAGATTTGTAACGAGGAGGATCGACTGTACAACATACCACGTGAAAAATCATCATGCCTCATTGAGAACACGGAGAAACTTCGACGAGAAAAAGTTTCTACCCTCCGGGAACTTATAGATGCACTACATGAGGCTTTTCAAACGGATCACGTAAATATCGATTGCGTTCAGGACCTGATGACGAGCTACAAAAGCAATCCTGTGGAGTGGAAGAAGTTTGCCAAGTTCGATAGATACAGGTATTGTGGCACTTATTGATTTATTTACAAAGGTTACCTAATATTTAACAAAATATATCTTATGCGTAGTTCTGATTAATACATATATAATCATTTCTTTGTGCAACAAACATTTTATATTTACGATTATATCATTATAATAATTACACTCAAAAAAATGTCTTGCTGATATAGGTAGATTTTAAGGTGTCACAACAAAAATTTATCGCTATTTTTTGTATCTGTTAGAATATTGTCTGTTACATATAGAATTTATAGCAGCAATATTCTAATAATATCTTCTAGAAAATTTAGGTCCCATTGCCAAATGTTAATCACTGCATTGGATAAATATGAGTTTCGATACTACAGCTAGAACGATCTTTGTGAGAAATATAACTGCCAATTATAACTGCAGCATTGAAAAATTGAGAGAAATTGTTTAAAAGAGCTAGATAGATTGGGCGCATTATACAAATATGTTATATGTGAGGATTATATATTCATTTGTTTCTTGCGGCTAATTTTTTCTGTGTACCACAGCCAAACTTTATAACGAGTATGATTGGCCTTAACATGGATAGGCGCCACAGAAAAACATTCTTTCTAAATTTCACAAACAGTTCAGATATAAATTCTGTCTCTGTGACTTAGATTGATTAAATGCGAAACATATGCGATATCACAGTATTTGCTAATCATTTATGTACCTCAGTTAATTTTGCGCACCCAGAAAATTTTTGCTGTAGTTGCAATACCACTTTTTTGAGTGTATAGAAGATTTGAAAATTATATACTGTTTTATTTTATAACAACTTTGATTATTTTAAACAGTTAATAATATAAATTATCAATACATAAAGAAGAGAATACAGTTGAAAAAAATCTGTACACGATAGTAACAAAATATAATTGCATAAATCACACATAAAAAGTTTACAAAATTAATTAAAAATTTTTTTGCGCACAATTATAATCGCGATAGAGAGTACGAAAAGAATACGAGAGAAAGAGAAAGAGAGAGTAAGAGGGAGAGAGAGAAAGATTCAAGAATGAAATTATAATCGTTCTTGCGCGAGAACGAGAACGATTTATTCGATAAGGTTTACATATTTGATCAAAGATAATGCTATATATCTTTTGAAAAAATGAAATTTTTACCGCGATAAAAATTACTATGAATACGAAGTATATATACGACGTATATACGGAAAAAATACGTATGTTTGTCGAGCAATCATAAGGTAATTATACATTGACAATTACGGTACTACTATAAACAAAATCGGTGCGTAACGGTAATGATCAATCAGGAACATTCCGCAGAAATGCGTCAATGACAGCGGTTGTTGGGTCATAACTGACGAGAGTAAATATTTTCCCCAATCACTGTATTTGAAATGTGTAAATAGAAGGCATACAACGTTCTACGCGTGTGGAATTGTGAAATGAAATTAACACGAAGTTCAGGATAGGTTATCGTCGCCCGTTCTCGCGTCCACACGTCTCTACTCGTTCTCTGTTGTTTCACGGAAAACGTGGAAAGAATTCAGTAATCTTGTGCTGAAGTGACCCGTAATACCACTAACACTCGTGATAGAAGTGGAATAGTCAGTTAATGATTGTTAGACGAAGAAAAATATGTTAGAGACGCCTCGGTGAAACTGGATTATCGCTGCAATTTCTGATCTCATGATCGACATAAATAATGTGTAGATAATATAATATACGCAATAGAGATACATAAACTATCCCCAGGAATATGCAATCTTAAATAAAAACTATTTTATTTGTATAAAGAAATGTGAATGATATATCAAAATATCTGAGAAAACGGAAAATTTTCGAGATAAATAAAATAATTTGATAGATGTTCACAAACAAATAATTTGTAATCAACTTTTTTACAATTTCATTAATAACCTCGTAGAGTTAGAAGTACACGCAGATAAATCACGAATCAAAGAAAAATTTTCGTGTTTCCCAGTAATAACATTAATAAATAAATTTATTATATTATTTATAACAGCATATCTATTTATCATTTATTTCTATAATTTTAGTAACACAAGATTAGCTTATTTATTGCAGCATTATCTGAAAATATCTTTATTCGTGTGATAAGAGCGAGAGAACGTTCTAGAATTGTTAGTTATTATCCTGAATATATTCAACAAATTGTGCGATACAACTCGCACATTTTCATATATAAAGTATAGTGTTTTAAAACAGGTATTATTAATGCACACATGTAATCGTTAGACGTCCGAGAAATACTTCCATTAACAAGAAACTTAAGAGAACTCTTTTTCTCTCTTTTAATTATTATTTAATATTTATATTACCGCACAGATTAATTATTTTGTTATTATATATATATGCTAAATAGAGTAATATATATAAATAGAAGAAAAAATAATAAGTATTTTAGTAAATCGCTAATTGTCGACAATATTGTATTAATTTTGTACTATATCGACACTCTTGATAGCTCTTGATTAAGCGGGCAACCGCAAATGAGAATGAAAATGAGTTTACGAGTTTGCGAGATAACAAGCACCTTGGACACATGTGGAATTACAGTGTGCAGTAACTGAGATCCACGTGACTCGGGAAAGTACGGAAACTACGGCGCACGTTTACCGGTTTTGCTGTTAACACAAAGTAGAACGTAAACTGAACGGCACACAAAAAACTCGGCAAATATTCCTTCTGCCTCCTCCTTATTCTAACGAAAGGCCTCTCGTAGAAAAAAAAAAAAAAAACATTTTCGGCATGATAGCCATCATGTCTTAACGGAATACCGTATAATGCAATGCTTTTCACAAAGATCTAAAATAGATAAATGTACACAATCTGTGTGGATTATAGAAACTTTCTATTTTAATAATATACTAAAATATATTAAAGAATTAATTATACACTATTATTTAAAGTAATATAAATAAATATACTCTTATAACACACATATAAAAAGTATGATACTATTTTCTTCCAATTTAAAATTTTATTTTATTTTCACGAGATAAAACAGAGCATGATCAAATCTTTTAGCACGCTCTAGATTTTTTCCAATAATTCGTCTAAATATTATTGTTTTAATTCAATATTCTGATATTTTTAAATAACGAGATTTTAAAATATTCTGAGATATAGAGTTTATATATAAAATAACGTTTTATAAATAATGCAATTATAAAAACAATTATAAAATTACATAAAAAAAGAATAATTTATTTTAAAAATCTTATATATTTTTCCAGGGTTGGAAAGTTGCTTTATAAAAGTAACTCGTTACCGTTACCGTTCTTTTTTCTAAAAAGTTACCGTTACTCGTTACCAATTTTAAAAAGTAACTTGTTACCGTTACCGTTACTCAAAAAATAACGAGTCGTTACAATTTCCGTTAGTTTTTTTATATATAACAATAACTACATACAATTTTTTTTTAATACAAGATCAAATTAAATACTAAAAATTTTTAAACATTGTCTTACAAAGAAACAAGATACCAAAATGAGTTTTCAGTAGTTTTCATGTAATGCTGCATTCCAACACTCTTATCAATATTTTCCTTTGTACGAAAATTATACCGAGTAAATTCAAAAAAAGTAACGATAAAAATAACTGTTAAATTTGTTACTCGTTACCGAAAAATGTAACGAAGTTACTTTTTCCGTTTCAAACAAAATTTGTAACGCCGTTACTTCCCAACTCTGTATTTTTCTTAAAAATATTTTTCCCAGTTTTACTACTTAAAGAGATTTTCGTATGGAAGTAAAGTAGAGATATTTAAATGTGCGATTGACCGGTGTATAATCAGTTATATACTTTTCATACATATGTTTCCCTTCTCCATGTTCGCGTTGTGTACAATTCAGGACATCGGTATATTAATATGATATCCGCGAAAAAAAAAACAAACGGAATATGCAGCTACGAAAAGCATCGAAATTCCGGATTTATATTCGCTCTGTTGCAGGAAAATTGCAGATCACCAATTCATAAATTGTATATGACATTCGATTTATATTAATGCTTCGTAAATAATTCTATCTTCTGGAATGATAAATCCGTTGTTATCAAAATACATATTATAAATAATTGATTATTTAATACCGCTGCATCACACAGACATACGATATGTAGCACAATTTTGAATTTAAATAAACTATTTTTTCCGGAAAAACAATTTTTGTTTATTCCCCAGAGAATCGGAAATAATATTTCAATTGTATTACAACTTAAATTCTTATATAATCTGTGTTTTAAAATCATTGAAAACTTGTCTAAATTCTTTGTTTTAATAGCAGTTTGACTTAAATCGTAACTAATATTTTTCGAAGTTTAATGATCCTCAACTTAATAATAATACTAATTTAATTAATATACTTAATTTAGTATATAAAACCGTTTTTTTTTTATAAACTGGATTAGTTAATAATAGTAATTGATTCCGAGTGATTTTGTTGGAATTTATCATGACTGGTTAACCAGATAAGTTTTTGATTGCAAGTTATAACAAATATCTATACTAACGTAAAAGCTGATGCAAGAGATTTCACAATATGTGCTGCTATTAAATCTCAGCAGATCATTAATTAACAATATCTAATTACGTAAATAACATCAATAATTGAAGTAGATCAATAATACTAGACTTGTTGCCAAATTAAGCTTATATTATATTTATGCATGTGTAAAATTTGTGTACGTAAAAATTGTTTATTAAATATGCATGTGCATTTAAAATATACATCAAAATTTCGAAATTTTTGAAAGGTTAATCGACAGTATATAAACCAATAAAAAAAATTGTGATTGCGTGTGTGTGTGTGGATCAAGTAACATTAGATGCAAAAAAATTATTAAGAAGCAACATACCAGGTATAACAATGCTGTGTTTGCAGATATACAAGAAATCTAGTTGATGAAGGAAACGGTAGGTTCAACCTTATGGTCTTGTGTTGGGGGGAAGGTCATGGATCAGCCATACATGATCACGCCAACGCGCACTGCGTGATGAAAGTCCTGCAAGGAAAACTATGCGAGGTATAAAAATGATCGCATTTGATGTTTTTTTTTCTTTTAATTATTGAAGAGTTTATTTATAATAATAAAATGCACATATCGCGATATAAAATCGTGATATTAAAATGCTAGACTAGATACGCATGGCCCGAAAAGTTCAAAATGGAAGAAGATGTGGAAGAGCTCAAAGAACTGGAAAGGAATACGCTTGATACAAACGAGATATGTTACATCAATGGTATGATTTTTTAAATCAAGCTATAAATAATAAATTTTATATATATATTTAATACGTAATAAATAAGTAGTTTCTGCGAAACTTTATAATTTTTTTTGCATAAAAACTTATCTTTCTTTCTATAGAGAGATGTCAAACCTGAATCATTTTTACAAGAGCGCTATTGCAAAACAAAGTTTTAAATGCAAATTTTGATTTATAAATACAATTATATATAAATACGGGTAGATAATATAATTTTATACATATACTGAATATAATTTCTCTTATATTTCTGTTCAAGATTCGTTAGGTTTGCATCGTGTCGAAAATCCAAGTGCGATGAATCCTGCAGTCTCTCTACATTTATATTCGCCACCATTCTCAACATGCTCAGTTTTCAACAAGCAAACTGGACAAAAGTCTATGTGTAAAGTCACGTTCTGGTCCAAATATGGAGAACGAAGAAACCGGGTAAGAAACTGAGATCCGGTTATCTCAAAAGATTCATCTCACTATGTGATACTCGACCTGTCCGCTTAAGTTTCTGATCAAAGAATCTTGTTGCTAATCAAATTTACATTTATAATTGAAAGTCATTACAAAGAGTTGAAAACTTAATTGATGTTTTCAGTAAATTTTGCAAGCTTTGCTCGAGTTAATTAAGTAATATAATTACCTTATTAATATAAGTATTTTTTATATATATGAACAAAAATTTAATATAATTTATAATTTATAGGAAATTCAAGATGCCAGATCTCCAGAGGATAACTAGTGTAACGATAAATAAGAACGCAGAGATATCATCAACAATATGCCAATTAAATGCTGATGATATCCTAATTAAACACAGAAATGATTTTTATTGTCTGATAATGAAACTCGCCACCTATATATATATATATAATAATTTGTGTATAAATTAAAATAGATATGAACTGTTACAATACATTTGTATGCCATTTTCGTTATGTAATCATTTTTAAGTACTTAAAACTACTTATAAGAATATGTAGATATTTTTAAATAAAAATAGCTATATGTTTTCTTCACATTTTTTGTATCTTATTTTTTTAGGTAAAAATAAGTTATGAATTGCTATTAAACTATAGATAAATTATAAATATGTATCAAATAAAAGAAAAAGATGTATGAAAAAAAAGAGAAGGTAAATATTTATTTATATATGTATGTTAATATCTTTTGCGTCTGCTAGGCAATATTGATAAACATAAATCTTCAAATCTTCTCTATCAATGATAATAATGAGTTCAGATTCAATTTATATATTTTATATGTATTTATTAATCAAATTTATGTTATTATAAATAATATATGAATTTTCATATTGTATCTAATATATTATATCGTACAATGATTAATTTATGACTAATAATGGCTAAATTCAAACTTTTTATATATTTTCCAGTTTGATTTTGAAAATTAATTTTGAAATTCTGAAAGTTTTCTGTCGATTCACGCCAAAGTTCTCTCGAAAAGTTTGCGCGAAATTATTCACGTCGAAAATTAACACGGAATGAAATGCCGGAAATAATATAATAATAAATCACGAATAATTAAACTGAACAATTAATAATAGAATTAAAATAACCGAATTAATTGACAAATGATCTGTACAATTGCGTATGAGCGGCACAAGTAGGCTTCCTTTTTAACTAAAACTACGAATGAAGTATACATATATCACGACTGATTTTTCAGTATTACTGAACCAGTCTGTATCAGAGCACACAGATGACAGATGGCCTCTCGGACACACGTGCAGCGTGTCAGAATACTGTACAAGACGATTTTAAGGTTACATCGGGGCTTACCGGCCGAGATTCAGCCCCTAGGCAATAATTATGTTCGCGACGAGTTTAAGAGGCATAAAGAATGCGTGGAGAGCGAGGCAATTATCTTTCTCCACGAATGGACCGTGAGTAGAGATCGTTGATTATCGAGCGAGCGAAATTGCATAGGTTATGTTTACGTTGTTGGATGAGTAGAGAGTCGTTAACGAAGACTCGAGAGGCTCGCGCGATTGACGAAACATAATTAATTTCTCTCGTAGGATTACGCGGTCTCTCTCGCTGAACAGCTCGGCTTAAGGGGTCCTCACACGGGACAACCGCTAGGAAAATGTTTGAAGGAGGAGCATCTCGAGATGCTGCGGGACGAGCAAGTGTGTCAGTTGTACGAATTAATGATCGCGGCTACAGGGAAGACGGAGGCTAAATCGAAAGATAAAACGTAATTCAGTACACACGTACTGAAATTGTGTATACTCAAAGATCTTGAATGGAATTTAACAGTACTTAAACTCTTAGAATATTGTATTGTTATCGTATTGTAATGTGTAAATAAACGTATAATAAATAATTTGTCTTTGCTTCTAATCAGTTACCGAATGACGCAATTTATGCAACATGAAAAAATGATAATTGATGATAACATAACCTCTTATTTTCATTATTTTCAACGAGTAGTAAATATTCGTCTACGTAGTTCACAGTTTTATCACGTACGGAAAAAATTTTAAAGATGAAATCCTGGCAGGAATCGGCAAGTTTGATATTAGCAGCACGCCAGTATGTACAAAAATATAATCCTGCAAGTGTAAGTGCATAGAATGAACAACATATATATATATATAAACTTCATCCATGTGAAATTTCCATATCATCTTATTCTTTTATTTTACGATGATGGTGATGATAACGTAAAATGAGAAAAATCCTGAAATATTGAGTCATTACTATTATTAATTAAATATAATTTTTATTTTTTGCATACATCTTTCGTTAAATAAATAATAATAGTAATTAATAATAAATAAATTATAATTAATAATAATTATGTCAATTTATAAAATGCATCACACATAATCACGTGGACTACTTGATACAATCTGTGTTCCTCCCAACATAAAGGTGTTTTCCAGCAAATTACATAAATGACAGTGTAACACACAGTATCACACGATTGGTTATCAAATACAGAATTTAAAATTTTTTTATTTGATAGCCAATCATGTGATGTTTTGTGTTACACTGTGTCATGTAAGTATGAAAAGCTGGAAAATACTTGTAAATATTTTACTATAGTACAGAAAAATTATTCACGTAGCTATATATATACTTATACTTATCCAATTTCTTAGTCAACATATACACATGTATATTTTTATTCACGTAATATATTAATTAAAATTGATCCACTATTTATTAATAATTAAAACGGAGTACAGCCAATACTAATGAATGAATATAAGAACGCATACATAATGTTCGAGAAGTAGACATATTTAAACACACAAACAGATTTGTATTTTCAGTGCAATTACAAATTGCTATGGTTGAAACGTCATCAAAAATCAAGCTTCATGCCGGGAATGTACGTCTTCCCGGGCGGTACCACAGATGCAGCTGACTCTAGCTTGAAATGGTGCGAAATCTTCGCCGCCTTCGGTGTGAACAATGACAGTTTCGCATCTCTGGTCCCAAAGATTGCGGAGCGACCTGAGATCTATCGATCAAGACAAGATGAACTGCCGAAAGAGATCTCGCTACGCATCACGGCGATTCGCGAGACCTTCGAGGAGTCCGGGATACTGATGTGCAGACATAAAGACGCTGATACATCTACTAATTGGGCTAAACATGTATCGAGTAAGAAACTGCACAAAATGAATCAATTTGTGGCGGATGCATAATTTCAGTCATGTAATTTTTAGTACCGAAAAATGAGTTGCAAATGTGGCAAAGCAAGGTGCATAACGATGCTACAGAATTCCTTACCCTTTGCAAAAAGTTGGAATGCTATCCAGATTTGTGGGCACTGCACGAATGGAGAAATTGGTTGACACCTACGACTATGCCTGTGAAACGTTTCAATACTATATTCTATTTAGCCTGCATGCCATTGATACCTTATGCTGAATACCAAGCCGTTGAAATGGAGGATCTAAAAGTGAGATATTTGACAATATATAGTTTTCGATGAAATACGTTTCTTTTACAGAAACTAATAACTGGAAACAAATTTAGTGGGAAATGTCAGAAGATCTCTTCTCATTGAATATTACACTTCCACCGCCACAACAATATGAAATTGCAAGATTAAGTAAATTTAAAAGTATAGATAAGCTACTAGATTTTGCCATGGAACGTAATACAGAAGAAGTGCTGCAGTTGTATTTACCGGTACATAAATTAAACTCTTTTATTGATATAAATTATGAAGCAAATAATCATTAAAATCTATTGCAGTATATTATATCTCATTGTATCATAATAAATATATTTATTAGGTACTTACAATCCTAAAAGATGGTATCGTGTACGTCTTTCCTGGAGATACAATGTATCCAAAGGATGTTAACTTATTAGACGAACAGCAAATTGATAAACCAGATATTACCAGATACGAATATCGGGAGATGACACCAATAAAAAATCGAATGGAATATTGGATTACACATAATAAAGTAATTTTTACTGATATACATGGTAAAGATAATTATGTGGAAATTTCAATGCCTGGTTACAGAAAAGATTCACATGGAAATACTAAAAATAAGCTCTAAAATAAGGTATAAAAAAATATTTTTTTGTTTTTGGGGTTTTTTAATCAAATTATTTTTATGCATATTATAACTTGATAAAATATTTAGAATACAAGTAAACAAGTTTATCTTCTTGAAACAATTACAGGAGAAATATTGTTATATTTTTGTAAAATGTTAAATTGTTTTGTATCTTTGTACAATGAATTGTTAACAAACTATACATGTGAAGTCAGATTATATCAAATCTCATCAATTGTATATAAACTTAATACCTAAATTTTTCAAAAAATATGATTGTATATACACTAAATAGATACATACATATACAGGGTGTCCCAGACCTCCTGCACTATCTGCTAATAGCAGATTAGATTATTTGAAGATGATTTTTCCTCAGCAAAAATGTCGAGGCATCAATAATTTCTGTGTTATAAACGATTAAAAAAGGAGGGTTTTTTTGCAAACTACTTTCTGTAGAGAGTTAAAACTACATTCTTTAGTTGATTTTAGATAGAGTTTACTGTAATAGAAAGAATTATAATTTAAGGCTTAGTTACAAAGATGCAAAAAAACTTAGTTGAAAACTTGCAAAAAAAGAAAAGACATTTTCGCTGAGAAAAAATCATCTGGATAGGTCTTGGATACCCTGTATACAAAATTTATGCAGCGTGTTTTAAAATTGGCGGCTGTTTTGTATCTAAAAATGGCGTTTTGTAAATAAAGCTTAAATTTTTAATTAAACCTATCACTTTTATGCGATTCCATCAATGACAAATATTGATTAATAACCTCGAAAAAAGGGCCTGGATGTTGCGATCTCCCTATGAATTGAATCTTTGGAATTTAGTAAAAAAGTGGAATGTAGCAAACGACGTTCATCTCGCATTAGGGGAAAAACATGCGAACGGGGCTTTAAAGCGTCGCGCGCCGGGAAGCAGCGCCGTCCTAGGGCAACGCGGCGAGAATCGGCACTATCGTCTCTCTCTCTCTCCCGAACTGGCGAATCGATATTCCGCTCAAATATTGACTCCGCGATTGTGTGTGCGGTGTGTCGCGAGAGCGAGCGCGCGCGATAGAGAGTCCGTCCCGTGTCCCGTGCAGTTAGGCGGCGATGCTCCTTTAAAAAAGTGGAGTGCTCTCCGAGTGCGCGCGCGAGTGAGATAAACTGTCTCCCGAGAAGAGAGAGAGAATCGAGAGAGTGCCGTTTAAGCGTAGTAAGGTGCGTAAGTCACGTTGCGCGCGGATAGACGATACGATCCCGTGACGACGAGGACGACGGCGAACGACAACAGGACGATCCGCAACGGAGGAAATATGCTGCCGACGAGCACGCTGCTCTGCGGGCTGTTGGCCCTGTGCGTCGGGCTCACCCACGCGAGCATCGCGTCCGCCTTCGAGTCGACACCTTCGAGCTCCTACGGCAACGATCATGGTGGAGGTGATTTTCAACTATCCGTCTCTTTCTCACCGCATCGTTCCTCGCGCCGCCGTGCCCTACATTTGACGTTTACCTGGCCCGCGATCGTCGCCGATCGCCGTCGCATATGTGCGTCCCCGACGGCGGCTTCCTCTCCGTCATCGGGGACGAGGACGTCGCGTTTGGTCGCGACGCGATGCGGCGACCCGCAGGTGCCCGTCGCACCTGCGGCTCGCCGAAACTGTTATGGCGATTTTCATTGACCGTGTGCGTGCCTGTGCTCCGTCTCTCCGTTGCACAATACGACGAGTTGAACGTTGCACTGCGCCCACCCGGTCGATATGCCACCGCTGCCGCTGCCGTAAAACGGGCGAGAAAAGAAAGGCGGCTGTTAAACTCTATTGCCTCCTCTCGTCAAGCGCGACTCTTTTTCTTCTTTCTCCACGAATCGTCTCCGAAATGCGAGGAAACGAATGTGAGAGATTGAGAAAAATGCGGGGGAGTCTGTTAAAGTATCTGACCGTAGTTGGATCACACTCGATTGTTGACGTCGAATTCCCTTGACAGATGTTGCGGAATCTTTCGTGCGACATAATAAGAATATAATATACAGGGTGATTCTAAATAAATGCGAGAAATTTTTCATGTAAACATGGGGGATTTTTCATATAAACATATACTTCTATATCCTCTGAGGAGTTATACTTCTTCAAAGTTCAAAGGGAAAAATGAAAATTAGGTTTTTATTTTTTTTGGACAAATCAAATTTTGAACATGTTAAAAAAATTTACTATAATTTTGTTTTGCTTGTTTTTTTATTCTAAAATTTAACTCTTCGTAACTCGAAACCTATGCCATCTAGCACCGTGCTGTGTATGATAATGTATTTTATTTGTTTTCTTGAAAACTATTGATTTTACGGAAAAAATAAAACAAATAAAAAAGTTTCTAAAGGAATCTGGCTTTCTAACACATATTTTTAGATGATCACATTCCGGTCCGTTAAAAAGTTGTAATAAAAAATTGAATAGGGATTACTAGTTTCATCCCTTTATAACGATACGGGAGATTTAAAAAAAATATTAATAAGTATACTTTTTACTAGTGGAAAGTGTCCACCAAATTTCATTTTTTTGACTTGTCCAAAATTTGAGAAAAAAAAATAAAAACCTAATTTTCCGCACTTATTTAGAATCACCCTATATATTGTTGTGTACAATGTTTCGACTTTTGGCGGCCGAAATTATTGTTATGACGGATGATTAATTTTGTGTTTTCTATATGCTCTGAAAATTCCACGTCGAAATGTAGGATTTCACGTGAACGTTTTTGCATTAACGTGTCTACATTCGCAGAATGCCGAAGATAATCGGGTTATGCAAAATTCTGCGGTGCGGCTGAAATTTATTTGCGCATTCGTAAACGACGTCATAATAAAATTCGAAATACTGATGTGCGTCTCGATGCGACGCAAGATTGTTTGTTATTGAAAGAAATATAATGACACCGCACCTTTTTTATTTGCATTTATGTAATTGTCTTCTCGTGTTACATCTGACAGTGATCGACTGCAAGTATTCTAAGATCTACCTTGATATAAACAAAAAGACGAATGACGTTAGAATTTAGAATGCGTGATAGTAGAAGACGAATGATAATAACATCTGGTTGAGGAATAACGATCGATCGCGTTTTATATTACTTGATAAGACTTTGTATACATTTCTATAGTAATATAATTCTTTTTACATTTTTGTTCATATCTTTTATATAATATATTTTTTTTCTATTTAAATTCCAAAGTATTATAGATAGTTAATTTTTCATCAACGTACATGATAATATTTCAGAAACCTCATGTAATTTTATCGGTTTAATTAAATGCACTTTTCGCGCAAGTGGGGCTCGGACCCCTCTGACAATTACTTGGGGCTCGATTACGATCGTTCACAGAATGACGCTGTTAGTCATCGTCGGAATAACAAAGTAGGTGTGAATCACGTTCGAAAAAGGAGTCCGGAGTAAAATTAGACTGATTTCGGGCAAAGCCCGAAGGTAAAGTGATGTGAATCTAATATTCCCGTCGCGACACATCCGTGAAGAGGGAGATCGTGTTACGCGTGTTAAAAATATTTCGTTGCATCCCGCAACACATGTGCGGTGCGTGTGTGTGTGTGTGTGTGTGTATCTAAAGCCGATCGTTAATTATTTCTAATCACTCGCCACTAAGATCAGAAAGTCCGTGAATGATACATAGGAAGTTTTCCAGCAAGAAACACACATAAAAACAAAATCATATGATTAGCTGTTAAATAGAAAAAATTCAGGGTCTTTAAAAATTCTCTATTTAATCGCCAATTGCGTGAGATTGTGTTTATCTGTGTTTTCTTACTGGAAAGCTTCCATAATGTGTCATACTTCAAATATTTGAAGCTTTCTTTATAGCGATCTTTGTCCCATATAATGGATTTGCATATCGCGATAATTGAATGAGTACACTTTAGCGACCCTGATGTGTTCTCGTACGATAATGCCATATACGTCAAAGTATATTTCACATACGAATAGTTAATTAACGATCGCGGAGGTAATTATCGGTTTCCAAAATTAGATGCCCCGTCGATTGAACCGAATATCCTAATGAGATCGCCGGAATTTAAGCTGCTGCGATCTCATTACGACGAGAGATGCGGTGTTAATTAAGCGATACCATCCGCAACTTTATTTTTTAATTTTTTGTTTACCATAATCTTATACATGTTATTATATCCTATCATGTATAAACCTTATCATTTTAAACGAGAAAAATATTTTATACATTTCTACGATTGATAATTATTAATAATCTATATATATATATATAGATTATTACATAATATTCTTTTTATTCTTTTTATTACTTTTTTTATTACTTATTAAATTAATGTTTTATGCTGAGATGAGTCTATTACACACATACATTGCTAAGGATAGCGTGTAAATATTATACATAATCCTTAATAATCCAAAATCGTTTATATTTTCATTTTTATTTTTATAGTATAAACTCTCGTGATGTGTATGTATATTATTAATCGACTATAATAACTGTGTATATAAGAATTCGCAATGTGTATGTGATTTTGCTTCATAGACGGGTTTTTATAAAGCGAAATGTTAGCTTTGATGCATCCGTTCTAGCGATAATTGTAGGATAATCGAAAAGCGTATTATGCATACGTTTTATAATTGACTTTCATTCCACGATCGAAAGCGATTGCTCATAAATAATTTACTCGCTGCTAGTACAAAATATGCACGTGTCATAATCGCGAAAATATGGAAATCTGATGTTAATATGTAATTTGCCGATTTAACATACTGTCATATATTTTCACACCTGAATTTTCGGTATAATGATCGCGATAGTCTCTTTGGTATTTTTTAATGAAATACCTCATTCTATCATAAAAATATTCAATTTAAATCACAATAATTATATAAATATTATTTTAAAATTTTTGTTAAATTATAAAAGAGCTAAATATAAGATCTTTAAATCAAAGAGTGAAAATCTATTCATCATCTATTCATCATTGATTATTTTAATTTTAAAAATCTGTGCTTTATTTTTATTCTCTTACCTAAACTTTAAAAACTTTTGATTCTTCTAAACTTTTGTTAAGAGAAAATCTATTCGAGGGATTGATTTATCTAACAAATTTAATTTATGGTGATTCTAGGTCACGCTATGTCGCGAAGTTTATATAAAAACATTATATAGTTGTTGACTGCGGGCTCAAAATTTCAGCGTTGGTAATTAAGAGGGTAATTATGAGTCACCATTGCGAACGCAAACGAACGTTTTTCTTCTAGTATGCTGTATTGTTTAATACTTTTCTCATTATATGTGCGTTGAAGATGTTGACAACGAATTAACGGGCTGCTGCCCCTTTTGTTTCACTTAACCCATTTCCACTAAATTTTAAATTCTTCCCTTTTTGTCCGCAAAAGTCGCACGCAACACGCGCCCGGAATATTTCCTGATGCTTAATTAAAAAGTTCGCTTGTTATACGCGACGGTAGATTTCACGGGTCTTTTTGAAATGCGCGTTAACCGAAATTTTTAAACGACGCTAACTTCATCCATTAACTTTTAACGCTTTGTTAAAATGAGATGGAATTTATAAGATTTATGTCATTGAAGTCCATCAATTTACAATGGCAAAAAAAAAGCATATTGTGAGAACGTTTTTATTCAATAAAATATCTGGCAATAAGTACCGTAGAACTGTATAGCTAGACTTTTTATTGGTTGAGATACGATATGCTTGTGTTATAATGTAAATTCGTGTGGCGTTCGAAGTGGCATTAATTTCGATTCCCGCGTTTAAGGGGAGAAATCAATGTAACGGTGGCTATTTTTGAGGATTTTTTTTTCTGATAAATAATTGTTTTTTTTTTTAGATTATGTTTTTAACATCATAAAGTACATAATTTGAACTACTTTTTGTGAAATTTTTGTTAAAAAATATTAATATTTATAGCTACAAAAGAACGGGCGCACACGTAATGGGTCAACGGAAGCTCTGAAACAAAAAAAACAAATATTTTTTTAAAATATAAGACAATAGTTCCAGTTGCACATATGGATTAAAAAAAATAATAATTTGTTATAAAATGGCGGACTTTTGAATTAAAAAGTTCCAAAATCGGTGAGATATTGATCTGTGTTTTTTAACATTACAAAAAAAAAAAAACAAATTATTCAATCGAAAATTTCATACGTGCAACTGAAGCTATTGTCTCATATTTCAAGAAAATATTTGTTTTTTTGTTTCACAGCTTTCGTTGTCCCGCTATGCGTGCGCCCATTTTTTTTTTAAGACGGCTCACATTATTGGCCATTGTAGCTGTAAATATTAATATCTTTTAACGAAAATTTCACAAAAAGTAGTTTAAATTATGTACTTTGTAATGTTAATAACGTGATTTGAAAAAAAAAAAACAATTATTTACCAGAAAAAAATCGCCACCGTTACATTGGTTTCCCCTCTTAACGAGGGACCGTAGATACACTCCGGATGCCATACGTCTCGAGATAAAGGTTGGTGAAATCGGACTATCTGTCTTCTTAGAAAAGTTATCTGAGAAAACAAAACGAAACCAGTTGCGAGGAACGCGAGTAGCTTTATTACGTTGCCGCAATTCCGTTAGAAATAGCTAACATAAGTCGAATGCTGATGAGGTGGTTCTTTCTTTGCTTCTACTAAACTAGGAGACGTCGATGCTGATTAGTCGCGTGCACGTGTTTTTGCAGTTCCACGACTGGATCTGGATAGTCTCGAGAGCGGATATCATGGCCTGGTCAAGGAGAACGAAACTCTGGTCGAGGTCACGCCGCAGATCCGCGCCCTGGGAACGAAAGTTTGCTCCTTCCGCATCGCGAACAAGCATCACGGCGAGGCGCCGTTTGAGATTGTCCTGAAGGAGAAAGGGATGGCCGAGCTGCGGGCATTTCGGGTCCTGAATTGCGAAAAACGACGTAATTACAAGTTCGACATCGCCGCGGTCGGCTGCAATGGAGCGCAATCCGAGAAGTAAGTTCTGTATGAGAGATCAACACGAGGAGTATCTCACTCATCAAAAATTTGTACATGTATTACCGGAAATTACCCAAGTAATTCCATATAATGCGCCGTATAATTCTAAGTAATGCGATGGACGAATTCACATTCGAGTTCAACTATAGAAGACGTACTTAGATGAAAGGTCATTATTTTGAGTTTTTTTTCTTTTGTTTATTGGTCCTTAGGTTGGCATTCCTTTTATTTAGTTTTTTTTTTAGTTTTGGATATTTTTTAGACATTTCTCTGGACATTCCTCTTACTCGTAACAATCTACCTGTAGACAGTCGGCCGCATTTTGTAGCAAAAAACCAACGTGATGCCAAATTTAAACGAGCAACAAATTTTTTTCTGTTAGTTTACTCCTGTAAGTTTGCACGCTGTGCGGCTTTCCGGCATTATTTATACTTATTTCGTAAGCAACAAATTCGGAACTTGCATATTTCGAGAGCAACAAATTAGCAACAAATTCTTATATTATTGTTATGTACAATTTTGTTGCTATATATATATTGTTCCGCTAACTTAATCTTCCTTTAGCGGAACATCATCTTTTTTTTAAACTTACAGAGCAACAAATTTTTTTCTTTGGCAACTTAGAGAGAGAGAGAGAGAGAGAGAAATATGACATATCCATTATGTGTTTTTGGCTCGAGGGAATAAATATTTCATTTTATGTTTGCATTATAATTTGAATTTTATGCCCAGGAATATAAGTATAAATTATGTTTATTATTACATGCCTTATCACACACATTATTATCATGATACATTAGTTACAGGTGTCTAAAAAGTTACAACCAAGTGTATATCACAAGTCTCATATGTTACACTATATCGGAAATGTATCGTTTTACCTTGTGTTTATCTGTAGTTAAAGTCGTAATAAGTCATTTTGCGAATGTAGGTCATCGGATCGTGCGTCGCGCCGGTACAACGCCAATTTTTCTGGTCTGCATTGACGCATCATGTACGTGTACTGTACGCCATAGTCCCGATGTGCATCGACTAAATGAGGAAATAACTCCCGGCTTGAGTGCACAAATTTTCTCATTACGAGACTGTGTGATTTCACACCCGCTTGAAACAATAACTGCTGTCTATTCCCTCGCGTTCGCTCTCGATCTGTCTCGCCTCGATATAAATGTTGCACAGTCCACGAAATAAAATATTCGCGATTGTGTGATACGTAATAAAATTAAAATAATAAATAAAACAAACATAAATTTACGATGTATCTCTATAAAAATTGAAATACGATATATTTAAATTAATTTAATTGGTTTTTATTGGAAAATTATGAAAATATATATTTGATATGTAAAATTGTGTATATGTATAATTTTTTGGTGTATATATATATTGTGTAAAAGAATACATTAAACAGAGATAAAATTTGAATTGTGAAACATAAGAGTCGTGAATCATATAATATTTTTCAATTTCGAGCGCCAAAAACATGACGTTAGTGACAACTAGACGTAACAAATTTTGCAATATATGGATAAAATTAGAGTAAAAAACAGGAAGCCCTGCAATTGCAGAGATAATTCACTGTGAAAAGCTAATACGCCCTGTTTCCAACCGGAATCTCTCTCTCACCTCGCCACCAACGAATCGACAGATCAATAGTGAAACATCTCGTACATACATGCACAATGTACGACGCTTTTATATAAAAGATTTCGTGGTGAATTTTTCATACAGAGTGAACGCGACATGTTATAACGAAATTTTATTTTGGCGACTGCCATACGGAATTATGACGATATCGATCGGCTGATATCGGCGTGGCTCCAACAATCACTATTCTCTCGCCGAGATAATTTCACATCGTAATTTCTAATTAGAATATTCACGCGTGCATCCGATATATTATTATGACATTAATACGGAAGGGTTAATATCGCGAGGGGCCGATATCACCCGGCAACGTTGTCCGATTATTTATTATTGCACATTCCATCCTGGCGAATTTTCCATGCATTGATTTAGCCATGTCTAAAATTTCAAACGTAAATAGATTTCGAGCGCGTATGTAACTCAAACGGCTATTGTTTGAACGTGTGTTTTCAGCAACGAAACAATTCCGAGTCGAAATTCAATCCTTTTCGTTCGTACATACGGTCTCTGCGGTATATCGTTTTATTGACTTTTCCGTTGTGTATGCCACATATTAAATTTCCGATACCCGCACCAAAGCGGACACTGTCATATAAACGTTTTACATTAAGTATATATCGACAGAATTTGTTCGGCCGTAATTCTTTTAAATTCTTTTCCAAAGCGAGCGTACAGAACGGGCGCGTCTCCTCTCATTCCGACAATACGGAAGCACTAAAAATACATAATTTCCTGTATCGACACTGTAAGCGCCACTTTGTGAAGCATAACTTTTAATTGACTCGAAAATCCATTATAATTAAACACATTCATAAAGATAAGCATATAACTATGGGAGCGTAAAGTTGCTATTTTTTTTATCTCGATATAAAAATTATTAGAGAATACCCTTTATACATACTGGAAATAAATCTCTTTTATAAATCTACTCTGGGGATTGGTGGAATTATATTGCAAATCCTCGGCTGTAATCCATCCTGAAAATACTCTTTCTGATAGCTGGATAACTCTTTCAAATCCGTTATATAGTCTGATGCGTTTATAGCTTAAAAGCTTAAAGGTTTTTAATTCATAAGGCTTATCAAAAATTATACAAATTTGTTTCCAAGCAAATAGAGGAAATATAAAAAATACCGATACACACTATAAACTACACAAAACGGTAATAAATATAAATTTGAGGATTTCCATTCTATTTTGATTATTTTTCTATAATTTGAAAGATTTGCATTCTAGACTTTTCTTATTCTTCTACGATGTTCCGCCATCTCCGCAGAAGAGATACCTCGTAATGTCTTGTAATGAGCATACAATATTTTATAAATATTTAATTATTAATTACTATTTAATTGTTATTTTTATTAAAATATTCTAATATAATGTTATTATTATTAAAAATATTTAATTGTTAATATTTTTCCAGCGCCACCGTTCACATTACCGTGGTTGATGTCAATGAGTACGCGCCACAATTCCTTCAACCAGCCTATGTCAGCACCGTGGACGAGGGTCGCCTCTACGAGGAGGTGGTTCGCGTCGAGGCATCCGACCGGGATTGCACGCCAAAGTTTGGCGACGTCTGCAAGTATGAAATCCTCACCGCCGATCAGCCGTTCATCATCGACAACGAGGGCGCCATTCGCAATACCGAGCTCCTGGACTACGAACGTTCGCACAATTATATACTCAGCGTGGTCGCGTACGACTGCGGTATGAAACAATCGGCGCCGGCGATGGTTACGGTCAAGGTGAATCGCGTGTGCGCACCCGGATGGCGTGGCATCCCCGAGAGAGTCGACTATGCCGCGGGAGTTGGCTCGCAGCCCCTGTTGCCTTCGGCGCGACTCGATCTCTGCGACGCGCCCTGCATCCTGCGAAACGTGCGCGCCACCCTGACTCTGGCCACCGATCACATCGGCAAGGGTTGCGATCGCGATACTTATGGAGTACGTAGCCAGCGGAAATTGTGCGGCGCTTCGCGGGATAGCGTGGACCTGCTGCCCACACCCGGACCCACGAGCTCCTGGACGGCGTCCCTGTCCAGGGATGAAGGTAGAGAAGCCGACGAGATCTTTGAGTTTGACGGCGTGGATTCGGCAGCGATTGTGCCGAATGACGTGCTGGAGCATAGCTTGGCGCAGAAATTCACCATCGGCGTCTGGGTTAAGCATCGACCACGTCCGCGACAGGATCCGCACGTCAAGGAACATATTCTGTGCGCTGCTGATGATCACAGTAAGTTTTCACGTAATTAATGCTAGAATCTGTATTGTTTTGGCGGCATCATATATTCAGTTAATGAATATTTATTTTTTTTTTGAGTTGTTCGATTATATTTTAACGTTATTACAGCTCTCTATTTTATTGAATTTGTTTCATTTATTATTATTCATATATTATTTCATTTATTATTATTTTATTGAATTTTATTTCTCTCTCTATTATTTCTATTAATGAGTAAAAGAACTTTCAAGAAAAGATCTCTATTATAAAAAATTCTCTCTCTTTTAAAAAGCGTTAATTTTAAAGTTATTATTTATGTATATTTTTTTTTGAATAATGTTTTCAAAATTTTACGAGAGCATATATATTTACTCTTTATTATCGGCTAAGTCATGTTTCGCGTTTATCACGTTGTTACAATTACCCTGATTGACTTTATAGCAGGAAAACAAGGAACGAGCTAAGCTAATAATTCCAGTTTTCCTTTATATACCTAACCTGAGGGAGACAATAATCATTTTAGACAGCTGATAAGCTCATCGGTCGTTCCGATGTCAAGTGATGTTCGTCGACGTAATCGTTGTTGGCAGAATACATTACGCCCGTCGTCGAGAGTGCGCGCGTTCAAGCGTTAAAATATACACGGTCGCTTCGCAGAAACGCCGGGTATTATCGTGAAGTTTCGAACAAAGCGGTTTAATCCTTGCACAGAATGAATTTTGGCAAGAAATCAGGTCGCTCGCGTGCATTTATATAGGTCGTCGCTTACGCTCGTTCTCTCGCGAAGAGTTAAACTGAAATATCCTGCCTATCTACCTTCCTCTTCTCTCCTCCCTCCTCCCTCCTCCCTCCCCCCCCTCCAGTCTGAAATACAAATCTTTCTAAATACCGACCGGTCTCTATGGGCGACATGTAATCCTGGGTTATATAAACGTTCCTCTCTCGTTCTTCCTCTTCGTGAAGTTTTCCTCTTCGTCTGCCCTTTTACGTTAAATTCTCCTCTCCCTTTAATGCCGTCGTGCGCATCTTTATTACGCGGCGATGTCACGAAAGGTGCAACTAATACTGCGCGCCGTTTGAATTACAGAGATGAATAGGCACCATTACGCCCTGTTCATAAGGAACTGCAGATTGATTTTGCTGCTGCGACGCGACTTCTCCGAGGGCGATCCTAACATCTTCCGCGCCGCCGAGTGGCGTTGGAAGCTCGGCCAGGTATGCGACGATAAGTGGCATCACTACGCGATTCAGGTGGACTTCCCGCGCGTTAACCTTTACGTCGACGGCGAGGAATGGCATGCTGATGAGAAGAATCCCGAGGTTATCGATGACTGGCCTCTACATCCGGCCAAAGGCGTCAACACCACCCTGGTAGTCGGCGCGTGCTGGCAAGGTTCCGAAAACAAGACTAAACATAATTTCCGCGGTTACCTCGCCGGTCTCTCCGTCTTAGTTGGAAGAAACGAGAAACCGGAAGTGCTCTCCTGTCTGCGACGTTGCCAAGAGGGCATCCACGTGCCGCCCATGGATCTGTTGCAACCGGGCACGCAGCTGCTAACCAATTCTGACCTGACTGAGGTGCGCATTGATGGCGACAATCGCACGAATGTGGAAACTTTGCTGCGTCGTATCGGCTATTCCAACTCTCGGCGTTTTCCGACGCCCGGTCGCCGTAACTTCCGCCTTGACACGACAATCGTTTGCGAGGGCAGTGAAAACACGCCCCTACCGGTGCCAACCGTGCAATCCTACGTCACCGTACTGCCACCTCCTCGACCGGGCATCACTGTCAACGGCACCGGTTATGTGGCCAGAGAATACGCAGATTTCCGGCTGGGAGTGCGCGTATTTCCCGACGCGCGCGTCACCGCTGGATCGGCCGCCCGATTAGACGCCTGCGCTGTCAGCGTTTATCCCAGTCTTAATCCCGATCATGAAAGCCTAGGATTACCCGGCGACGCCCTGCTCGCGTTCCACGACATTTCCGCCCGCGTTGATCGGGACGGTGTCGTCCTCTCGGGCGCAGATTCGCCTTACAATTATCAGCAGCTGATCCGTCTAATTATGTACACGAACCGCAAGCCAGCTTACTATCTCGATCGCGTCTTCAAACTCACTTGCTCCGAGCTGAGCGGTCGCTTCGCCAGTAACGAATATGTGCAGACGCTGGCTGTGATTCATCCCAAGGAGAAGACGACTCTTCCGCCGACACCCGCGGAACCGCCTATTGCCAGAATCGTGGAACCAGCTCCCGGTCATGCGCAGCTTTCGCCACATCATGCCGATCTGACAGAGGAATACGCTACAGCCGCGCTTCGCGAAGGCAGTAGAACTATTGGTGGTACTGGTGGCAGCCACGCTGTGACCATCGTGGCCGCTGCTTGCATCGGCTTTCTACTACTGATGGCAGTAGTGGGCGCTGCGCGGGTCCGCGGGGCGGCTAAACGACGACGATCCGCTGGTGACGAACTCGCCGCCGAGACAGAGATGGCCTGGGACGACTCGGCCCTCGCCATCACCGTGAATCCAATGGACAGGTTGACGGAGAACGATCAACACCACCAGAGCCAGCGAGACGAGGACGTAGACGACTCCGGCAGTTCCGATTCCGAGGACGGTTCGTTCCGAGATGACGATCTCGACAGCTCCGACTGTGAGAACGATTGCGAGCTTAGTAACGGCCGGAATCGCCGTCACAATTCGCCGCACGATCTGGAATGGGATCATCGTGACGTTTAAATTACACTACTATCTTTACACTGAGCATTCACATCACCCCTCCCCCCTTTCTTCGAGGTTTTTGGCATTGAGAAGAGTACTGGCCGCGTGCCGCTTTCTACAAAATTGCTCCATCATTTCTCCACAACGCGCGCGACGCGTTTCGTGGAAGTATTCAGCGAAAGAGATTCTCCGCGACGCTATCAGCAAGTTTCGCGAGTTTGCTCTGCGGGAGTAAAGAGTTTCGGATCATTGTCTACGGACGTTTCTCGTCGAATGCGATTTGCGTCCGAAAGATCGATCGCTCGAAATTCTCTTTCCGTATATCGGATATCACGACACGTCGAAGAAATTAGAATATTTACTACGCTTTCGAATCTTCAGAATATATAGAGTACTAAGATTTAACGTTCTAACGTGCTTTTACTACCGCTCGCGATCGATTCTCTAAACGATTATTATCCCTATTTAATGCGCGCGAAAGCATTATCGCATTACATCCGTCCCCCTTTTGTAGACGACGTCGATATAATTATTAATGAAGTGACGATAAAACACACACGGCATTCAGTTAGTACTCGTCTGAAGCGCCAGGAAAAATTTGTAAGAGTGCGGGACGCTTTATCGAATAGTTAAAACTCTTTCTACCTACGAACGCACGTCGATGTTTGGTAGAATCGGAAATACACGCAGAAGATACTTAAACATTGCCGGGAATGTATCTACGACAAAATTATTAATTTATATTCTTGATATATCATTGGTAGTAGAGTAGAACAAGGGGACATCTTTTTTTATCCCTCTAACTCTATCTTTTCTCCATTTTACTCTATATCCTACGATTATTGCTATTTTATTATTACTCGTACTAACTCTACGATTATGCCACTTTATATCGATAGTTGTTTTCGTTATTATTTTTAGGCAGGACGGCCCGGTAGCTGGTAGTTTTAAATGCGAAATAGTGTTGAAGCAACTCTATATTCTTCCTCGTCTTATCGACTAAAAAAACTCTCTTATCTAAGATCCACATGCATTTGATCTCATGAATGTAATTTTCTTGCAATAATTGTGTCTTTCATATTTTGATCAAAAGCGCTCGCGAGTTACGAGCTGACATAAAACTAAACCGGCGGCGAAACGCGCGTGGTAGTTACGAAGTAAGCTGAAAGCTGCTCGTTTCAGGTTTCAGTATAGCACGTGAGTCGGGCTGAGCCTGGGCCATACGATAACTTGCCCAATTTTCCATTTTTATTTTTAAGTCGTTACTCCTTCGATAGTTTCTTTGCACACAATTTTCGCTTCTTTTTCATTAGAAAAAGAGAGAAAACGGTAGTAAGGACATTGTCTCACTTGCATCTTATAATAGTGCTTCAACGTCGTTAAAGTATATCGGTATAGCATCATATCCGTATACAATGTGTGCGCATACGGAAGCGGCCGCTTAATTAATTAACAGATGTACCGCCAACTAGTTCGTGAATACTCGGAGAAAATGAAATATTCAACAATAGAGAACAATATACATAACGCGAGAAAGCAGATGCTTCATATGTTACGTAATTTTTTTCCGAGGTATAAATATTCATTTCTAATTAATTAAAATTATTTGACACGTGAAGAATCGGCTTATACGCGGATTTATATAATCTTTCCTTGGCGTCGAAAATTCTCTCAATTCTCCAACAAGTATCCGCGAATTAACGGCAGGTACCGTACGCATGTGTTTTGTGCGCGCGACACGCACACACACGCTCTACATATACATGCATATATATACAGCGTCCATTCATTATTCTGTGGCGAGAGTCTCGTCTCGAGTAGTAGACGATTATTCTAAAGTAATGCGCAGCGGCTGGAGGAGCTATCACGAGCGTGCTTCTCTCATTTATTTTCCCCAACCCAAGACGCGTCATATTGTGCAATCGCTCTCTTTTCACAGAGGAAACTGAGTTTTACGTGCCTTTTAAGCAGTAGTGTACATTGAATTCTCCGCTCCACGTCTAAGTATTTTTTAATAGCTAATCTCAGGCCGCGGCGCGTTTTTTCTCAGTGGCCGCTCTATATTGTTGTTGGAAACTTTTCGCGATACCGTGGCTCTCTCGGTATACACAGTTTATTTGTACGATTATCGCGAAACACGATATCGCGAAAAGTTTCGATATTGTATTTTAGACGTTTACGGCTGTTAGGAGTTAAGGATCGGACGACGTCGTGCTTTCGCCGGACGTGGTTTTCGCGCGACTTGTGGTCATCGTCGTCGTCGTCGTCGTCGTCCGGCGGGCTGTCACGAGCTTCGACATACAATGCCTGTCGATGCTTTCGTATCGGAAAACGCGTCACACACGTGCAATGATTGCAGGGTAGCCGCGAAGTAATGAACGGATTTTCGTGTTTGTATATGTGTGTGTGTTTTTGCGTAACAATCTACTAGAACTATACCGAATCGTTTGTCGGAGACACTTACTATTAGTACCGAAGAAGACTCGTGTACGGATATATCTATATTCATATATAGGGAACTATAATGAACAATTTATTTTTTCAACGAGCATATCATATCATTTTTATAAGGCGTCGAAAAAGTTTTTTGGGAAAACCTTTCGTCAACGAGCGGTCCCGCAATCCGCGAGTTTCGGTCGCGAAACGTCGTCACACTTTGCTATATGAAGTGCAATTTCTTTCTCGTTATCCGCGATTCTCGAGAAACAAGTTCTTTTTCTTTCCTTACCTCCATTCTGAGAGGAAGAAAGGGGGGCTATTCTATAACGATATACCCTCTCTTACGCATTTCTCCGATTCGCGCGAGAGCAGATACAGAATCCAGATTGTTCTAAACGATTGAGAAAACGGAGGTCGGTGACTATGTAAGAAAAAGATAGGGACGCGTATGATCGTTTATCTGTTCCTGATAACACCAGATCGCATATACACATATATACGTAAAATACCGGTGTGTGTACACTGCTTGCTTTTATACTATTTTTCCTTTCTAGCATTTTCCTAACGTGATATCATTATTGCAACGCGAATCTAATCGCGCGCGCACGTAATGTATAATCTCGTATTTTATAAAGATCTATAACACAACACAGTGTGAAGGTATCGATAAAATCCACCAAGACACTCGACTTCCAAATGGAAGTTTTCGAAAGACTCGACAAAATCGAGGAAGGATCTGGCCTTTACGACTGTGTCTAAATTAGCTTACGTAAATGTACACACATGTTTGTATGCTTAATCTTCAAGCATAAGCATTCGTAAGTGCACGGTGAATTATATAGTTTGGGAGATATGGGATTCCTATTTCGTTTGATCGTCGTACACGCGATATATATCATAATACTTGATCATCGTACACGCGACACCGTAATGACTACATACACCCTCTTCGAGTGCACGATGTCGAGGTGACGAAGCTAAAAGAGCGCGAAAAGATCGGTATGAAGAGAAGATATCTCGCAAAAAATAATTATACTCGACAACTATATATGTAGGGTATCCCCTTTTTTACACAATAGCTTTTTGTTGGTCTTAAGGATGTTTTGGCTGTACAATAGTAGCGCGAAAAACTATCAAAAAAATATATTTCTTACGTTTATACTGTTTGAAAAATCAAATAAATAAAATGAGTAAGAAAAGTTAAAACTCAAATAAATAAATCTGGATTATAAAAAGAATTAAAGTATCACAAAATAATATGGTTTTTTTGACGCGTCTTCGTAAAAGAAAATAGTTGTAATTAATATTTTTCCTAATTTACGACAAAAACTTTTTATCGTGAAACTTAAATAATTTGCAAACTTAAAAAAATTGTGCTCAGATTTTGCTCAGATATTCAGAAGAAATAGTAGAACAGTCTATGAAATTCTCATGCTTTTGTCAATATTTTGACATATGACATATACATCCTTAACATCTTCTCTCTTCTATTTTATCTATCACTTGAAACATTTACGATTTAGAGATCTTTACTTCGATATTTCTAAAAAAATATCTTCTATTTTCTCAAGTAATATCTCTCTTTCTCTTGGTCTTGATACACGGATATTTTGAAATTAGCAGTAATATGTGTGTGAAAGAATATATTACTTGATATCGATATATACTTCAGTTGTCTATAAAAGTCGAATTATTATAAAAGAAGATATATGTGATCAGATATTTATAATTTAAACGTAAAATATAAGGGGCGCCCTAATCCATGCGGATATCTTTTCGGAAAGAAATATCGAAAAACCATAAATCTCTTTCAATCGATAATCAAGAAATTATTAAGATGAAAAAGCGATTTGTAAAGACGTAAAATTAATCGAGTGCGCCCGCTCTAAATATATGTACTTAATTACTAATTAACAGAAACAAGAAAAACACTACGCAGAATAAAACCAACTAGAAGATACTATATAATATGTATACATAAAAAAAAAAAGGATATATCTAAGCTGTTTGCAAATGATGACGATATAAAGGGGAAAAGAGGGAAAAGAGAAAAAAAAAGGGAAATGAATTTGTAATGTATCATTGTATTTTGTAGGCAGCTAGAGAGAGCGTGTACGTATACATATGCACAGATATCCCCGTGCATGTATGTATGTATGTTTACGTATATAAATATACATACACTCTACCCTCTTGTCTCACTTATACACATACACACACGTAACCGTTTGCGAAAAACAGAGGAATATTTTGGATTTAAAAAAAAAAAAGAAAAAAGAGGAACGAGAAAGAGCTCGCATGGAAAAATGTCGGAAGCTGTAAACGCGCCAGATTACATTTTCCGAATTTCCGAAAGAGAGACTCCTCTCTCGCGCGCGTCTATCTCACGAAACGAGGGGCACACATACATTCTCTTTGGCGTATATTGCATTCGCCCGCTACCACCGACGCGTATCGACTTTTACACACACACACACGCATTCATATATCTTCGATGCGACGAGAGTGAAACCGTGCATGTATAGACGCGCGATCGCGCGCGCGTGTAAATCGAGAAATTATAACGCTTCGCGGGGCGAGAACGCTCGTGTCATTCGTCTGATCCTCCGTTTTTAGCTTGCCTTCTCTTTTCGCGCGCGCGCAAGAAGCAGCAAATGGAAATGTAAAAGGAAAATAAATAAACACATTAATCTTACAGCGACTCATACGGGAACCAGATTTAGCGATGCGGCAAAAATTTTCCCTTAGGGACGAAAAATGCTCGCTAACGAAATTTAATTCAATTTTTAATTGACGCAATATATAAGAATAATCTCCCCGATCATATAATTGATATTTTATATTGATAGATTTCATTGAAACGAATTCAAATTCGAAAGTTAAACGAGATTTCCGCGTATATTTCGACAAGCACATTTCATTTTCGTATTCGAATGATCTGAGACATCGGAATTGAAAGCTTATAATTAAGCTACAGAAAGTGTATTAAACGTTTGTAAAATATATATGTGACATATCTCTCGTAAAGTATATTAACAATAAGCGCGATCACTCCAGAACTTCGTTATTATTTCTCTTTATATATGCGCGATGCTGAAAAGGAGATAAAAGAATAGCGTAGTAATGATATAATCGGACGTTAACGATAAAAAAAAAAAAAAAAATGCACGACGGCGGGGTAATGGGGCAAAAAATAACATAAAAGGAGATAAAAGAATAGCGTAGTAATGATATAATCGGACGTTAACCGATAAAAAAAAAAAAAAAATGCACGACGGCGGTGTAATGAGTGAAATAATCAACTACTTATTAGCTAGGCCGTAATGAAATATCACTACGTGCCGACTAAATTCCCTCCCATCGCAGATTGATTGTGTGTTAACTAATAAGATTAAATAACGATATAGTACAGTTAAGGAATTTAATTATTATGGATAAATAAATAAAAAAATACTATCTGTATGCTAAGCACACACGTTTGAAGCCGTAACGTGACGTATGGCTAAGGCAATGTTTATGATTTAAACGAGTTTTTAATTTTAACGTGACACACTGAGTTATTCGGCGCGTCTGCACCGCGACGCACAGAAACGTCAAATTATCTTGTTAACTTTGTAAACTGAAAGATTGTTCAAGACAAAAAAAAAATGAAGTATTAGCAATAGTATAACTATACACACACACGTACACGATACAAGATCACGCGCGGCCGCATATACACGCTGCACAGGCTAGGAAAAATGAAATACTATCTATAACGACATTATAAATAAATATTAAGACGTCAACTGTATTTGTTTAATAAAGATGTACATTCGACGTGTGAATTGACCATTGAGTATCCGGCAGGTCACTGTAATATTTTCTGATAAATTTCTTATTTGGACTAGATAAGGATTTATTTTGAACGAGAGATTAAATGTGTCTCAAATATTTTTAATATATTATTTTTGCATTTGTGTGCGATATATGCGATTTAAATGACCTGCCGGTTAAAAATGGACATTGAATTATTTCTATTCTCTCTTACATTTATCCCTTTCATATTCTTCTCCTATATAATTCATGTCTTATTTCCGCAAATCTTACGCTAAATGAGCTTTTAAAGGAGCGACAAAAAAAAACTGTTTATGTAAATATTTAGTTTTTTTTATTGATATGTATTAAATAAAAATTTATTTGCACATATACAGCGTGAAAAATAACAGAATTATACAAATATTATGTTGCAACTCTGCAATATTTTAAATTAGATAAATGAATAATGTTTTCTCAATAATTATTTACAAATCTATCAAATATTATATATGTTTGAAACCAACATTACAATTCTCTACTTTAAACTATCACACATGAGAGATATACCTCACTAAAAATTTCGATAATTTTACATGTTCTTATCGATATCTAAAAATGATATATATGTATATATAGTTTTGAAAGATTACATTCTTCGAAAAAATTGTTCAAAGATATGAGAAGATGATACTGCAAGAGATTTAGTCTTGAAGAGTTATACAAGTATATTTGTAAATTATATGACTTGTCAAGATTATAACTTCTTATGTATATTTTTTAGTATAAATATCTTTAATAAAACAAAAAATTATATTATTTTCTATAATAATGTTCGTAAAGCAAAATATTGTAATAACTTTAACCAGTCCTGTCGACATGCAGTAATTTTTTTTAACTGCATTCATATTTTTTTTGACATTTTATATATTAATATGTATCACATATGTATATGTACTATATCATTTATATATTCATAACACAAAATTGTAGGAAGATTAGATAGACTAATTTCCAAAAGTATGAAATTACTTGCATGAATCTTTCTTATATCATGTTTTCATAATATGAAAATGAACAGGTAAAAATTAATTTATACATTTTCATTTGTTCTTTTATGATTTCATAATAAATATTAAAATACTAATATACAAGAGAATAAAGTGATATATAATTAAAAAAATTCTATTTCAGATAACATCCTGATTATAAAGGGTCTCCTTCGTGCAATACTTATCTTTAATGTCATATATTATATTCTTTTTGCGCTGTATACACTTTCGTTTTCAGTCCTTAATTTTTCCATTTTCCATTGCCGAAAGGAAAATGCTTATACTTTTTCTTTCGACAATTTTTATTACAAACTTATTTCATATATTATTATCCTACTATTATTGTTTCGAATACTTATAGTAGGATACACCCCTCATCTCAATATCAGCAAACAATGATTGTTGTCTCGCCATTGTTATGAGAAAACAATTTTATATTTTCCGCGCTCCAATGCAATAACGCTCCCTGACAAACGACGCTCCACACATAAGGAATGAAGAATTCTTCCGGTTGTTCCTCTTCTACATATTTAAACTTCAATTCTGGAAACTTCTATAAACAACAGTACATACATAACAGGATTAAAATTTTTATAATAGTTTAAATAAATGGCATAATAATTCCTCTAACAATGTCTACATACTCTTAAACGATCTCGTGGCCATTCTAAAGTTCCTTGCTGTATAGTAGCCAATACTTGACTAACACCAAGTTGCGATTGATCTTTTTGCTCCAATTTATAAGAAAAGAAATTAATCACCTAAAAATCAGATATATCCGGAAATTTCGATTATTGCATTGATTTAAATTTATAATATATTAAAATATCTATGTGCAAATGTTATAATATCATTTGTGATTTAAAACTTACAGAATCAATATTTTGGACGATATCTTGGAAAGCAGAGTGCATTCTAAATGGTTGAAAGATATCCTTTTTATATAAGAGAGTGTAAATTAAGTTTGGATTGTATGCGAGTCTGTGAGTTAAACAACTATTTATAATTTCTAGTACCATCCGTAGGACCTCCTCAAGTATGGTTAAGTCTTGAATCTGCGATATATATTTTAGTTGACAATACCAATTGATTTATTTATATGATACATCTTATCTTATATATATCTACCAAATCTGTGTTTGCAACGGTGGCATTTCCATTAACAGACGTATTAATGGTATTGTCAGGAGAAGTTATCGGTTGTGCTTGCGCTCGAATTTTTGCTTCTAACCGCGCGTGTTTTTTTGCAAGAGTCTCGAATAGACTCAGCAATCTCTGACTAACATAAGGATGTAAGGATGTGAATTGGGCAGACATGTTTGCCAAAGCTGCTAGACAGTTTGTATGAAGATATTTGTCCTAATAATGATAAAGAAAAATATAAAATCTAATTTGTAGATGACTTTAAATCAATATATGATATAAAGAGAATGTTGCATGCTTACTCTCATTTTAAACATATTATATTGTATTGTACGGATCACAACCAAGATTAAAAGACCACCTAATGATATTTCACTTATGGATCTCTCAGTGTACCATGTTACACCCTTGAGCATCTTGGGCAAAATAATATAATTATCAACCGTTATCTTAATCATTTATATTTATGTAAAGTGTTTTAATACTTACAATTTCATGTATCCGTTTGTTAAACGTTTCATCTTCACTTAAAATTAGGAGAATGATAAGGGACATATAAATATGATGTGAAGTATTGTTTGGTGCATGATACAATATTTGTAATATTGGAGTTACCTAAATAAATATTTATAAATAAATATTTCAGTATGAGAGATCATTAAATATTAGATGTCATTACTCCAAGAAAAAAATAAGCTTTTATATCACTTGCCAATAATTGTATATCAGGCCTTTTCATTATATCCTGTTTCACATTCGAATTCCTATGTAATAGCATGTAGAGCAAGAGCGTGATTTCATCTGTATTTGGTATCTTACAAATAGTGTTATATAATTTATTCAGATTAAATTTAAAGATCTCGATTGTTTTCGTTTGTGATGTAGGTTGATCCTCTGCACAAAAAATTTTATCATTTAAAATAATCAAACGCAGTAATATATGTCTCCAATAACCGCAATATTAAGAATTTGTACCAGAATAATCACATAATTAAATTAGATTAGCCCTCAATGCATATCTGTATCTCACCTTGCATATCTATAAAAGAGAAAAGCGCATTTCTATATGGATTGTGTGTAGCAGTACAATGATTTGTCAGAATCAATAAAAGTAATAGAGACTGACTAGCGAGTGGAGTTTCCGTATCGCGCTTTTTTTCTTCGTCCTCAGCAGTGCCGTTATGTGCAATCTGTACATTCTTTGAACCACTACCAATGCCCATTTTTATTACGTTCCACAACCCGGCTGAAATAATGCTTTATATTAACGCTTATAAAACAGATCGCCCACGTTTTGTAATATTGTCATATTTACCAGCTATACTGAATACAATACTACCCCCAGGTTGCTGCGTCAGCAAACCCGGGGGAGCGTGTTCCTGTTGTATAAAATTGTGCAACAGTATACACACCACAGCAGGTGCTTGTTGGCTCGAATGTGCATGCATCGCTATCCTGTATACAGTGCTATATTCAGCTGCAGTTTGAGAAAATAATTGTACCGAAAGCAACACAAGTAAACAATTAATTGCTTCCAAATGAACAACATATGTAAATTCACTGTAAAAAAAATGCTGATTTATAATACACACATGTATAGTATGTATTTCAAATATTTTTGAAAATGCATGTACATATGTATGTATAAGCATATTATATATCTTCACTTACCATAAAGGTACGTCTATAATAAGTTCTATCAATGCATCAAAAAGTTCTTCCAATCTAAAAGAAGACAATGCTTCATTTGCTGAAGTTGTTTGTGGTGCTTCAATGTGTTTTAGCATCTCTTCTTCACCAACAGTCTCAATAAAATATTTCAAAATGCATCTCACGGCAAAAAGTGCATTGTATGTTTGCCATGTCGATATTATACTGTAAAATTACAAAAATATATAACTTTCAAACTTATATAATTTAGGATATCATATATCTTTTTACAGATAAAATACAATTTTTATTAAACTTTTTAATTATTTAAAGATAAAAATTGTATTAAATTTTTAATTATTTTTTAATTTTTACAGACAAAATAATATTTTTGATATAAATTTAGCATTATAATTTCAGAAGCTTACTTTTGATTTTGAACAGGTGCTAGTAGTTCATTGATGCGTGTAAGAGCTACCTGTATCAGAGTACCAAAGTTGCCAGTAATCAAGTTATTCACAAGCAACTGTTGACATGATAAGTCTAATCTTGAATCGAGCTCTATTTGATCGTTTCTTGTAATAGGTGGTCGCATGTTGTAAGATAAGAATGTGTTCCAGAATGGATCGTTTGCAAGTATGCTTTGCTTTCCGCAGAATTTCTCCAGGTATACATTTTTTGAGAGATCTTCATAGCGACTTGGCGTTGTACCCATTGCTTCTATTGATCTTCTGAAAATGAAAAAAGCAACGGCTCTCAATATCCGAAATATTTCGAATAAACATTCCTTTTTTTACAAACCTCTCTAATTCTTTTATTTATAAATACATGTAATATTTATAAATATATATATAATATGCTTATATATGTGTAAGGAAAATAATAAAAAATAATATTATATCAAAAAATATCAAGCAATTGGCACATTGAATTTGAAAAATTCTTTACATTATCATCACCAATGCACAAACATAAAAATTTCTTTCTAAAAATAATACAATCAAAAATATACACGTTGACAGTTCAGTTTGACAGCAGCTTAGAATGCACTTAAGAGAAAATTGACAAGAATAATCGCACACGAATATTCTAACTCTTGTGCAATGCACAATAATATTGCTGCGTTATTTTTCCATTATAACAATAGGATATTATTTGACCGATGAAAATATATGCATAAACGTCGTGACGGATCAAACGAACTAATAACCTTCACGTCATGTATCGAGGATGGTTAGACAGGATCACCGATCACTCCTTATTTCAACAGTTATTTGCAACTGTAATTCTGTATCACTTGAGATATCCGGGCTTGACTGAGCTGCTAAAATAAAGTACACTTACAAAATTACGGATACTAATAATCTCAGTTGATTTTTGCAAATAACTGGCATATAACGGCATGGATAGAAAAGTTCCACACTGCTACCAGCTGACGTATCGGTATAGTCGGTCATTGACGAATCAATCCCATTGTATCGACCGTCGTATCGAAAAGAGAATCGTATCAAAGATAATTGGTTCAATGATCTAATCAATTTTGCAATCAAACTGTGAGAGAATGTTCGTAACGTGAATGAAATTTTTTTTTTAAGCATAATTATGGGAATTATAAATAACTATATCTTTATTTTTAACTATCTGAAATATTGCCAGAATGAATAAGAGACCCAGTAAGCAATTTGATAACAAATTGTTGCCAAATTGGCATCAAATTCGCTCAAAACTTGGTAACAAATCCAGTGCCATCTGTGTCCGCATTAAGCTTGTGTTTTGGTGACAAAGCTTGCTAACATAACCTGACAGCAAATTGACGGCAAAAAACGAGCAAAGCTTGACATGATTTGACGTCAAATTGGTGGCAAAAATCGAGCAAGATCTGCGCAAGACAATCTGACAGCAGATTGTCAGCAAAAACCGAACAAATTCTGCAGCTTATGGCCATTCATATAAAATAGTATATTTAAATGGATTTAAAGTCTCAACCATAAGTAACAAAATGATGATAAGTTTTAGTCATAAAATGACCATTAGATAATTAGACATCCTAAGTTAGGTCTCATAAGACCCAAAATATATCACATCAACGGGAGACCATTTTCTGACGTTCTTTTGATGGCAAAAATAAGACAAATTACAGTATTGTTATATAAAATCATATATTAATGTTTTAAAACGTATAAGTAAATTTAAATAATTTAATTTACAAAATTAAAGATATCTTTTTGGACAGAAATTGTTCGAATAAGTGAAAATCGAACAATTATCTGTCCGATTTGCCAAAAATCAGTTCAATATCTGAATTTCTTGTATAAGAATTGTGTCAAAAATTGAACTGATAGAAATATATATATTATAATATTATTAGCGTTTTGCAGGCTTTATATACACTCATGACAAGAATTTGAATACGGGTATAGATAATGAATAACGCGCCGCATAGCGATAAGCGACGGAACTATTTTATAATACTTTGTAATAAACTGCAGATTCTGTTCGGTTTTTGCTGCCAATTTGCCATCAGATTGCGCACTCCAGACCTTGCTCAGTTTTTGCTGACAATCTGATGTCAGTCATGTCAGCAAGCTTTGCTCGGTTTCTGCCGCCAATTTGCTATCTAGTTATGTTAGCAAGCTCGGTTTTTGCCGCCAATTTGCTGTCTAGTTATGTTAGCAAGCTTTGTTTGGTTTTTGCCGGCAATCTGCCAGCTTAATCGGTAATAACAACTCTTGTACCAAATTTGTAGCCTTTTTGCTGACAATAATTTGTAGCAAGCACTTGGCAATATCTGTTAGAACAGATGTGGCTGACTGGGAGAATTATAACAGGGATTATTTTTTTTAAATGTATCTTATTAATATACTTACAAAAAGATATGTGAAAATAATTTTTATTTAGAAAAATTCAAAGAAAACTTTATTACCGATTAATCTAAAACCGCTATGTTTAAACAGTTCAAATGTGTTTTATATATATATATATATATATATATATATATATATATATATATATATATGT